TAAATATCACCCTCTAGATACCCAGGAAACCTGCAGGAATTCTTGTAATGCTTGCATATGCTAATTGCTAAGGCAAGCATTTTTAATTTTTATTCCCACAAGTGCAATCAAAATGTATTGACTTTTGCATTTAACCTTTTAAAACTTTGAAGTTCAACATCCTACTGCTAAAAAGGACTTCCCCAGGAGTAATTGAGAATTGATTTTTAGAAGCCAGGCTAAGGTATGTGAATGTCTGGTGTGTCCTTCTGCAAACTGACTCTAAATATAAACTTAATTCATTCTTTAGTTACAACCAGTATCAGAAATATTTTTTTTTTTATACATACCAGTCCTGCTTCCCTCCAGAAAATGTTTTTTTTCAAGATTGCTATGATTTTATCAGGACAATTAAGAATGTTTTGGGATGATACCGTTACGTTAAGAGTTAGGTGTACACAAAAGCTGTAACAGGAGGCTGCAAGTTTGGAGCAAAGGTATAGTGTTGTTTATATGGTTGAGTTTGTGATCTGGTTATTCAGTTTATTGTAGTTGGCTTGCTGTGGTTGAAAGGCTTAGAGCAGGGACATGGATGTTTCACAGATAGCCTTTTTTTTGTGGTTTGCAGAGATTAGAAACAATATGACCCTCTGAGGTAGCAGAAATAGTTGCTTCATTTTATTGTCTGCAGGACAGCTGTCAATGCTGATGCACAAAATGATATTTTAAAGATACTAAATGTACTTTATTGCTTCCCACAGTAGGTTATTCTTGCATTCTAGAGGAAAATAGGAAAATCTACCTGTTTTAAGGTAGATAGCTAAATATGATTTTCTCTGAAAGTTTAATAATTTCATTGTCTGTAGTGAACCACATATAGAATTGTATAACAAGGGTAGATAGTCAACCCAACCACTTATTTATAGGTAGTTACTGCTGAATTTTACTAATAAATAAGGTGATTGAAAACTCCTTTGACTTCATGTCAAAACTTACTCGTAACTCAAGTGAACAATTGCTTGAAATCTGACTTGTCATTCTTGACGCAGTTGTTATGAAAAGCAGTTCGTTAAAACAAGAAAGATAATTCCTCTAGTAAGTCCCTCTAGACTTGCAAAGACATGTTGGGAAACTATTCTGGCTTTGATTTCAAGACTACATAGGGGCTTTGGCCTTAGTCTGAGCTCTTCCTCTAGGTGCAAAAGTCTAAAGAAGTGTTATCCTGCAAGAAAATTTACCTCCAGAACCCTTTGTTATTTTCTATGTATGTTATAAACCACATAAATTAGTATTTTATATGTGCACATGTGCCCATACGTGTGTGTGAAGGTAGAAGAGTTGTAGGAGAAAAGCGTACTTTTAAAAAAAGAAAAATTAAAACCTGAGCCTTTGAGAAGCAGGAAAGAAATAGTTAGGAGAAGAAAAAAATGTCTGTTGTTTGAAGGACCCTTGTAGCCAGCCCGCAAAGGGAGCTTTTTGGAGAGAAGTTTTGTTTGATATGTTTATATCTCAGGACAGTTTCAACGATAAAAAAATTCCAAGGTTTGATACTTGAAGAATCTGAGCAAATAAGTTGCATTACTTCCATATTCATGAATTGCAACTTCATATACAACTGTCCTTTAAATGCTAAAGAGAAAAAAAAAAAAAAAACAACCTACAAACACAGACTTGGTAATGCTACTAATTACCTTTGTAAGGATGTTTAAGATGAGCTTAAGGAAACCATTTTAATAAGGCATAGGCGTAAAATAACTTCTCCAACACACAAGTCATGACACCATTGTTCTTTTTTTCTTAATTCTTAATGCACATAGAGCACCATAGGTAATATAGCTGTATTACCTGAAATTTGCAAAATTTAAATTGCCAGTTGTCCACTTGCATTTCAAAAATACTTAATTGTAGAATCATAGACTGGTTTGGGTTGGGAGGGACCTTAAAGATCGTTTAGCTCCAACCCTCCTACCATGGGCAGGAACACAGTCTCTGTTAAGTTACTCTAACCATATACTATAACATCTGAGTATTTTTGTATATTCCTAGTTGCCTACCTTAGCACCAGCAGTGGGCAGGGCTGGCACCATCACTGCAGACCTACACTGTCTGCACATGCCTCCCTCTGCCTCTTAATTACAGGCACTGCTTGCCATTTCTAGTCAGTTGGAAATTAAGTCCTTACAAGATTTCTGGAATTTAAATGCTGAATGAAAAACAGAGCACTCCTGAGTATGGTCTAGGAGCAGCATCACAACAGGGACCTCAGCTGATTGTAACACAAGCTAGTTGTTGTGCCTCAGTTGTCAGTGCTTGGTCCAGTGAGTACCTCTACAGGTCTTCTTCAACACTTCTCAGTCTTCTGTGAGTGATTTCCATTCTTTCCAGATGAGAAGCTGAGTCAAAAAGCAATATGTGTTGAAGCCAACAAGTCACCTCAGGGTGCCTTTGAACTGTTTTCACTGTTCTTGATTGGGCTGTTTGGGCATGCAGGAAGGCTGAAAATAGCTTAGTACTTGGTTTGCCATCTGACTAATGGATATTTGATGTTTTCAAGGCTTGTGAATTTGAAATGAATGTATTAGTAAAATCTAGAGGAAATGCGAGCGTAGCAACAGATGAGTAGAGGAGATAGTGTGAGCACAGAAATGAGACAGAAAAGCAAAGTGGAAAGACTGAGCTCCTGTAGAAGGGAAAAAGGTATTAGAAATGGCAGCTTTAGTCAGATTGAGCAGTGAGCACCAGGTCCAGTTTTAGAAAGGCTAGTGAGTTTATGTGGATGTTTTTTTCAGGGTGGTTGTTGTTTGTTTGTTTTTTTTTTTTTTTGTTTTTGTTTTTTTTTTTTTTTTTTTTGTGAAGTAGTAAGTCTCATCATGGCTCTCAGAAGCATGTTGCACAAGTCATTTCCATTTTTCTTAGTTGTTGCCTAGCTGTTTGTGTTAGCTTACCTGCTCAGATTCTGAGATTGTCAGTTCTCCCAGATCCAGTGGGAGCAGTGGTTGGCTGGTTAAACTGGGTTTTATCAGTCGTTGCCATATCCAGAATCAGTTGGTGTATTTGCCGTGTCCTGTGTACCGAGCTCCGGCAGTAAGGCACAAGAACTTGGAAGCACTGAGATCTGGTACCTCGTTAGCTGAGCAGCTCAAATGGTGCTGCCCAAGAAGTGTCCCCGACTGCCGATGGAGCGTTGTACCCGGGTGTCACTGCGGGACAGGCACCGTCAATGAGTCCTTTCATTAACTTTTTCGCTGGTAATTGCAGGTAGAAATGAAGCAGCCCTTTTCAGTTCATGTGAATTTTATGACTTTTGCAGTCTTTTTTTTGGATTGCTGTTGCATCTTTTCTTTGAACAGGAGGTGCTCAAAGCTTTTTCTTTTAGAAGTTTACTTGCAGAGATAGTTCTTCACTTGTTGACAAAACATTTTTTTTTTTTTTTTAGCCTTGGAAGCTCTTGCCAAAGCTAAGACAGAATGAGAGCATCAGAAATAGGGAAGGAAATCAGTATTCCATAACCGTTTAGCAAGCAAAATGTTCTTTTTGTTTCAAAGATAGCTTTGTGTGTAGATGGTTTCTGGTTTAATATATTTTTTGTTTTCCTTTTGAGAAACTGGAGAGAAAGAATCTAGTTCTGGGATGGAGTTGGATCAATTTGTTATGTGAAGTAGAAACATTTGGTGCTGATTGCGGGGGGGCAGAGGGAAGCTGTTTGAATAAAATATATCCCAGTTAAGTTGCACCAACATTTCTGGGAGAAGTGAACCACAAGAGAAAATAAGCAGTAATGTAGCACATTCTAACTGTTGAAATTGGAGCACAAAGCGGAGCAAAAAACCCACACAGCTTTTTGGGGTAATAAGAACTTACTTTTTCCCACTTTGCAACTAGCTTTAAAGACTTTTCAGAGGTATTGATTGTGAGAGTAAATACTCCTGCCACTGCTCTCCAATGTAATGCAGGACCAGATTAAAAATTAAGAGTACTTTTTTGTTGTAGTGGCTGAGTTACTGCAATTGAAACAAAGTTGAGTAAAGTAGACTTTAAAAAAAGAGTCAACGCTCGCGTATTGCAGAGATGTCCATGTTCTGATTCTGCTCTTTACTTAGCGGATAGCTTGCTTCTGGGAGGGGAGGTTGTGGGGCAAAACACTGGGCGCTCCCTCCAGCAAGGTAGCAAATGTTGCAGCAGGGCAGCCAGGGACTTCACACGGTTTGCTCTGTGTTTCCTGCTGCCTTTCTGCCTGTTTTCAAGGCTTTGGCTCTGCTAGTTTTTCCTTCCTTGTGCCATTTCCAAATGTTTGCTTGTTGTGGCACACGAAATAGTGCAAGTGTCTGCTTTTTTTAAGCAGAAATGTAGGTATGTAAATATTGTCATAATGTTACTGTTTAATCTAGTTCCCTTAGAGAGGACCTTATTTATTTCTACAGTGCTACTGTTCACCAAAGAAATGAGGTTATGTTGAACTGAGTCTGAGTCTGTTAAATGTGACCTGTATGCATAATACAGTAGCACAGATGCTGTCATCTATAGCTAGACATTCATGAAATAGTGGTAATTTGCATACAGGTAAAATCCAAGGGACAATGTACACAAAAGTAGGAAAGATAAAAGATAGGATATAAATACAAATGATCACAGTGGAAAACTGGAAGTGGGCCTTCAACAGGCTTGATTTGCTGTACACTTAATGAGCAACTGGGAGAGTGTACATCACAAATGCTTCTTGTCCTTCCCTTGAAAATCCTTAACATCAAGTTGTGAAATACAGGATTAGAGACCTATTGTGCCTATTCTTCCCTCTGCCCCCTTCCATAGGAGCACGGGAAGTTCAGATGTGACATATAAAGACAGGAAATGTGTAACAAATTAGCCAGTGTAGCTTCTCTGCAGCTATTCAGTCTGAATATTTATGTTACTTTTGAGTGTAGGTTTCGATTTGTGGTATTATATAGTTGTTTAGTGCAGCTATTGACAGTGAAATCTAATCTTCAGGTTGGTTTTTTTTTTTTTTTTTTTCTCAGAGCACAACAATGGAAGAAACGGCTATATGGGAACAACACACAGTGACTCTTCACAGGGTAAGTTCATACAATTGGTTGTGTGTACCTAATGCAGGATACTGGTTGCTTTTGAAAACAATAGGAAAAAGCCAGATGTCAGGAAGTAAAAGAAAAGGAAATAGTCATATTCCTTTGTTTAAATTTAGAAGTGTTGTAAAAGCTGCATTTGATAGTAGCTCTGTTCGTTGGATTTCAGAGATAAGCCTGCCTACAAATAACCATGCCAGAAACAAAGCTTTACAGGACTCCTGTACATAACTGAAAGTAGTTAGAAATGTAAGTGTTCATTAGCAATTATGTTGTAACTCTATTTGAATGTTTTTAAAACTTTATTTGCAGCGGCATAAACCGATATATATAAATAAGTGTGTTGGAAACTGCCTCATTTCCTTGTCATATCCTTAAATTGGTGGCTGAAAATAGTGATTTTTGGGTAGTCACAATGTGCATCTTACACAGAGGAATGTCAGTGAACAGAGAGACAGCTTTTACATTCAGACAGACTCTCCTTCTCTTATTTGAGTTACTCTTAAATTGATTTCTGATGTTGCTAGTACGAGGCTGTACGAGAAAGGCAATAAAGAATGAGTTGTTTATGGGAAGCCAGAACAAGGTGGGATGCTGTTTGTGGTAGCAGCTTGGTATTAGAGCAACCACAGAATCATGGTCCAGATAGCTATAAACCTTGCAACAAAACAGAGATGTCCAAAAGTGTTTTTTTTTTTTTTCCCAGGGAACAAGTTTTACATTACTTGTCTTCAATTCTTTGACGAAGAATCAATGCATTCTAGAGCTGTAGCACTGACCACATGAATGGACCTTTTGTGACTAGAAATGTGTATGAATCATCTGGTCAGATGAAATGTTAATTGTCTGTACAGACCTATTATCTGCTAAGTCACATGAGTTGAATATTCTTTAGTCAAGATAACGGTTTCAGTACCTGCACTCTTTAAGAAGAGAGCAGTTACACTCAATTTGAGCAGAAGGCTATTTTAAGAAAGTATCTTCTCCAACTGCAACACATGTTGAAAGAAAAGTATGAGTAAACCCAAAATTGTGTAGTGGTACTCAATTAGGTGACTCTTCAAGTCTTTTTTGTAATTGCCCTTTGTTTTCTTCTTGAAGCTGTCCAGTCATGCCTGGAACTTGTGTAAACTTAAAGTTTTTTTTTTTCTTTTTTTCTTTTTTTTTTTTTACTTGAATTACTCATTAAATCAGTCCTGTTTCATATTCAAAAACCAAAAATGCTATAGCAATAAAAGGTTGGCTAGTAGACTCTGTGATAGTTTAGTTTCTGCCAAAGGCGATATTTTTCTGGTTAATTGGAGCAGTATCTTCAGTGAAACCTGAAGTTCAGTCAGTGTGCAAAGGAATAATGAAATGCTGCAATATGGTGTTACCCTGAAGAAATCTTGGAAAAAACAAAAGAGGTGGGAACCAAAAATCTTGTTCTGTTTGCACTTGCCGCAGAGTCAGAAGTCTTTGTATGGAAGTGAAAGTGTCATTTGATTATAATGATGTTTTATGTGCCAAATGTCTACTATCTGTACTGGTTTAACTATTTTACTAGCTGAGCAAGTATGTCTTCTTCAGATATCAAAGGCTAATGGCATATACTGTTAATTTGCTATTATCAATGCTATCAAAGTTATTGAATTTTTCTGACATTCTTGCAGTGTTAGATTAAGTAAGTGAGGTTGCTTGAGTTTAGTTGGAATGAGTGAAATGCATCGAGCTCTCAGTTATCCTCAAAGATAAGTAGAAGTTAATAGAACTGGAATAGACTAGAAATGAGAATCTGAGTGGTTGTCAAATATTTTCTGTGAGAGTTTACTTCACTTGGCTGAGCTACAAAACTGCTAGAGACCATCTACTGTCAGCCACACAAAAAATATTTGGAAGAACTGAACTTGCTTTCTGTTGAGGCACACTAAGAAGTCTCTCTTGTTTGGGCTTAGCTGAAAACAGTAGGTTGGCTGTGAAGGGTGGAATTAATGGCGTTTAACATGTGCTGGATTGCTGCAGGGTAGATGCAAGTCAGACTTTGCCTTACTTACTTCCCTAGCTTCCTGTTCTATTGGTACATCTGCAAAGCTCCTGGGATTCACCAAACTTTTATCTGTTCTGTCAGTATTTGCCTTCAGAAATGAGGCTAGACAAGTCATTGTAAGAGTCTGATCGAGAATAAATTTGTCTGATACCTTTAAGACCCCCTGGGAGAGGCAGAGAAGTCTGGAGCTGGTGTCAGTCCAAATCAACTTTTGTCTCCATAGAAATACCTGCTTAATGGCAAGCAGGTTTGTTGTCCCTCCAAGTGTTCCAAAGAACCTATGTAACTGTGGTTTATTTTTCCATTTTAATTGGTTTTAATGATAATGTGGTCAAAACAAGTGAATGAGTAAGGACCACTAATACCTACAATCAATAGCCTTAAAAGTAGGGAGGAAATGCAAGTAGTTTATTAGGTGGCATGTGAGTGTATTCGCAAAGCTACATAGAATATTCTTGACTACATTTATTTCTGTTTTGAGACTAGCTTTTGTCCTGTTGGCAATTCCAGCACTGACAATTCTACTTGACTTTAAGCCTGTGTTGTTCTCTACTATAACTCCATTGTTCCTGTGTATGCCAGAGTAAGTGGGATTCGTTTAATTCTCCTTGGATGCCATAAAGGTAGGCAAAACTATAAAAACAAAAAGCAGTTTTGGTAGTAACAATCAAGTTCTAGGAAGGTGGATATAATTTGTATGCAATTTTCTTCTGAAGGAAAAAAAAATAGAAGCCACGTTAGCAGGTACTGTATAAGGTATTCTGTCTGGTAGTCCACTGATAATATGTTGGTGTCTGGTGTATTTAACAATTTAAAAAATGTTTCTGCATTGTTAGAGAGGGCAGTTACTGATTTATAAACCTGTTAGTGGTGGTTTAGAACTGTAGTTGCATACCTTGAAAAAATACATTTTCTGTTTTTTCGATAAGTTTTTATTGTGTAATGGCCCTTTACAGAGTGGATGTTAGGGTATATAAGCTCAGGGAGGTCCGCCTTACAAAAGAGAAGGGAGTGTTCTACATAGGGAGTTGTTGAGGAGGACAGATATACTCACTTGTTTTGAAGGGTTTCTTTTTATGACCTTTACTTTCCAGGGTTGTCATTAGAAATTAGGGACAGAGATTACTTAATCCCAGTAGTTGAAGTATGTATGTGTGAGTTTAGGCACTTCATAGTTTAGACATCATATTATGGTTTTTTAATCCATCTGTTTCAAGTATCTAGAGAAGTTGGAACAGAACATAAGCAGTCTCACTGTGCTGCGATTCAGCACAGTGGTGAGTTGCAGCACTATTGTCAAAAGACTTATTAGAAACTTCTGGGGGAGGAGCAGCTTGACCTTCTAACCAAGAGTTTTTGTTCACTTTCTCTACTGTACTTCCAACTTCCTGGACTGCTGCTTAGCGCCTAAGAAATTGAGTCAGTCTCAAGTTCAGTTAAACCTTATCAGGTAGCTACAGTTTCTTTTGAGGGTTCTTTGGTTTTTATATACATAAGGGTAAAGGAGTTTAAGGAGGAACCATGCACTTTGTGTGTTATGTGGGTTTCTCCATAGTCGGAATTGTCATCTGATAGACGCACTGACGGACTCTTTCCTTCCCCCAAAGAACAGTAGCCAGGTACATACACACCTTTCTGCTTCTTCCATGCTGCCTCGCTGTGGGAGACCCAAATAGTACATTTTTTTTTCTCCCTTGTGCTGTCATTACAACATCTGATAGGTGAATTTGTGATATGACAGGTTTTTCATACAAATCCGTTTTAGTTAAGATACATGTTTGTATCTTCCACAATCTGTAGTGATCAACATCTTGCTACTTCCAGATGTAACTAGGAGCTAAGCTCAGTTTTCTGAGGGTAGTTTACTTTGTTTGTCTCATAGGATGGTCATAGGCAGCAGGATAAAATGAAAAGTAGTAGGCTGAGGTTTACTGGAAGTTTCCTTATTTGAGCGCTTAAATTTTGAGAAAGATTTAGGGTTTAATTTCAACTTTCCAATTTGGAGTGTTTCTGAAGATATTGATTAATGTTACTAGAAAGCCTTTATCTCACATGTGGTCTGTTTTCACTGCTGTCTGTGAGACTCCTATGTTTCAGGGCTTCTTGAAAGGAACAACATTGAAATATGAAACTAGTTGTCTTGGTATTGGTGACTGGTTTTTGCAAGTCTACTCTAAAAAAATTAGAACAGCAAGCAGCAAGATGAGGTTTAGTGAGTTTCTGCATCCTGTTTGTCCTTAGCGTAATGATTCTATTTCTTTTAAGGAGTGATTTTTTTTTTTTTTTTTTTTTTTTATTGTGTCAGGAAAGACAAAAAACTTTAAAATGAACTTTAATATCTTCTGTTATTATCACTTCTTCCATTTCTTCCCCACCCAGGCACAGTGAAAACTGAATTCTGTTAGAGTAATGGAAAACTGAAAGATGAGGAAGCAGCATGAGAAAGGAGAAATGTTACTCTTTTGAAAGAGGTTTTTGTGAAATATTTTCATAGGCTATTTAGAGATAATCTTATTGTCAACTAGTTAAAAAAAATAGGAAAAAACCCTCAGCTCTGGTCATAACTAGTCATTATGAGTGTCCTACTGCATGGCACAGGGTTTCACTCTAGTAGTTCTTGCATCCCAGCCATAATTTCTGGTTGATCTCGTTGGAATGTGTCTTGAAAAGATGTCCAGTCTTCCTTTAATGAATTAAAATTAATGTGAAGGAGGCAGTAAGGTGTACCCCTCCCCTCATTAATTAGACCAACTTATTTTCTTCATACCTGGCAATAATATGTGCTAGCTGTTCAAATTGGTGAATCTCTCTTTTAGTGTTGTATTTTACTATTCACTCCTTACAGGCTAAATCTGGACTATCTTTTTATGACTTGTGTTTTGGGGCCGATTAGAAAAGAAGTTTCTCTGAGCAGTCGTTACTGTCAGAAAAGCTGCACATCATGTGTCTTACAGCCAGATGCAGACTGCCATGGTGCTTCTGCTGCCACTGTAAGGTTATGAAATTCATTGCTAAAGCTGGGTCATGTTTGTCAAAGTCTGAAAGAAGACAGGGATTAGTCTGCCAGCATGGAGTGTATGCTGTGTGAAATGGAGAGGAGGAATTGACTGAAACCTGATCTTCTCGGTCCAGTGACTGTATTTTGCATAGCTGAAAATTTCAAAATAAATTCTTGTGCAAAATAGAGCATTTAAATGATAATATTTTTCTGACAATATTTTCTGGGAAATGATTGAAGAGCTAGATGGTTTTCAAATCAGTTATGTTTAGAAAGTTTATTTCCTGTCCTCAGTGCTTCCAGGCAGAAATGTAAGCATCATTGTTGTATCTCAAAATATCTAACAGGAATAACTTCAGAGGCACTGACCTTGCTGTAGTGGCAGGTCACCCTAGAGGGAAGAGATTGAAGCAAATTGCTTTTGTTAAGATGCAGATGATTTGGAAGCACTGACAAGGTTTTGATGTATTTAATGGTACAAGCTATCTTGGTATTATTCCTAAGAAGGGAGCCTGAAGTCATACTGCTGTGTGCTGTGATCCTGTCAGTTCCTGAGCCTTGCGAGGTCAAGCTGGGTAAATACCATAATGCAAAACCTCAAGGAAAGTGTTGGAGGAAGTGATACGGGTTGGAATTGGCATCTCAACAGAGTGCTGTGGTGTGCTGAAGATTGAGGTCTTAGTGGTGTCCGCCTGAGGCCTGGGCCGTAAAAATGCAACTGGGAAGTCTAATCTTTTACTCTTGGGAGAGACTGAGTAGTTAGGCTGAAACTCTCTGCCTTCTAAAAGTGTTTTTTGATTTATCTGTAAACTCTCTTCTGTTCTATGTTGCATAGCATTGTATCGCTCAGTAATCCTTCTTTCTTCCAACAACCTATTGAACCTTTTTGTCTTTGACACAGGAATGTGACTTGTGACCATGTAAATATTAGACAGTAAAAACATTCCTCTTGTTACATTATAGGCCCCTGGATTTGGGTTTGGTATTGCAATATCTGGAGGAAGAGATAATCCTCACTTCCAGAGTGGTGAGACATCAATAGTTATTTCTGATGTACTGAAAGGAGGCCCAGCAGAAGGACTGCTACAGTAAGTGCTAGACTTTGTGGGTTCTGATTTGGGGGGCATTCAGCTTTGTCAACGGTGCCTTAAACTCCAGATTTTGTTCTCAGGATGTCTATGTACAACTGATTGTTTAGTAGCTTATAAAACAGGTAGTTTGTTCAGGAATACCCATTCCCCAACATTTTCCCCTTGGCATAAAGTATTTATACTGTGTATTGTGATGTTTCTCATTCAGAGAAAATGACCGTGTTGCAATGGTTAACGGAGTTTCGATGGATAATGTTGAGCATGCGTTTGCTGTTCAGCAGCTGCGGAAAAGTGGGAAGAATGCCAAAATTGTAAGTAAATGTATCGAAGATTTAAGCTTACTTAATTTCTATAGTCGTAGAACAAAAGTGAAATGGTGTTACATCTGCTATGAGATACATGTATGGTGCAAGATACTTGAATATTACCTGTGTGATGCTTCAGGTTTAAATGACTATCATGAAATTTATGTGTATCACTAAATTTTTTTTTTAAATATGAATTATGATGTTTGGGTAATATGACACTGGATACTTGAAACTTCTTTTCAATACAGTAACGTTCTTCTCAGTTTACCAAAACCTCAGTTCTCCTTCTTGAGTGCACTTCTACCAAGTTTTCCAAAGGCTGGTGTGTGCTAAAGGACTTCACCCGCTCTTCAGGCACTGACTTAGTTCTTTTGCTGCTCAGTAAACGCTTTGCCAGCATAAAGTATAATTACCTTAATTCCTGTAATTTTGTAGGCTTATTCAAAGTGGTTGGCTTTTGAACTTGGCAGAATAGAACAGACCATCCCTAAAGGGTAGTAATCCAGCTTTCTGTAGAAGTTTGAGATTTGTGTTACGAAAAACAGAACACAAATGCACAATGTCGAGCAGTTTCTTAATTGGGGAAGACAGACTGGTAAGGCTTGTAGAAAAGCTTTTGTGCTGACGGATTTCTGGTGCTCTTTCCTGCTTTAGTGTAGTTGCAAAAAATTGTTCTGTTTTGCGTTTGTAGATAAGTAATTATTTTAAACAGATATAAAAAAACTGTGTGGTGAGTTCTGCAAGGCTTTAAGTATCTTGAATATTTAGTGTGTAGATTTATGTAGAGAAGTAATTAATGAAAACTTTAACTTGGTTCAGTTCTATAACACAGAGCAAATAAACCTCTCAACAGGATTGGGTCTTATTCTGGAAACAGCTGTCTGTGTTAATACAAACCAACTTTGAACCTTCAGTGGGAATGTTCCCCTTTCTCTGTGACTTGCATAAACACCGCTTTGGAAGATGGGGAGGCTTCAAAGTTGAGGAGAATTACTGCCAATAACACACTGAGTATACAGTAGATTACATGTTACCAAAAGAGGTTTTTAGCATCCTTTGCAAGGACAGTTAATCTTACCCTTTTGCCACTTTTGTAGAAGTGGAAAAAGGACTATATGTCCTGGTTTGAGTTAGAACAGAACTAATACTGTTCAGTGACTTTAATTTTCAGCTCAGTCTCTTCACTAAAACAACTGTAAAAACAACATACCCCTCCTCTCAAAAACAGATTTCTAGTAATCAGTATTGATGTCTCCTGTATCAGTGGTATAGAATTTGATAGTGAGGATGCAGGGATTCAGAGCATTCACAAATAAATCTGTATGTATTCTTTAGGGTTTTGTGATTAGCTTGGCTTCTGACATTTAGTAACACTGTTAGCATGACGCATCCAGAGGCTGATACCTAGTGTTTGGTTGTAGACTATCCGAAGGATGAAGAAAATTCAGATTCCAGTGTCTCGACCGGAACCTGAACCTGTGTCTGAAAATGAGGATGATAGCTATGATGAAGAGATACGTGATCCAAGAAGCAGCCGTGGTGGTCCAAGTGCCAACAGGAGGCATGAGAAGAGCTGGGTAAGAGATCGAAGTGCTAGCAGAGAGAGAAGCTTATCACCGAGGTCAGATAGAAGATCAGTTACTTCCACTCAGCCTGCAAAACCTACCAAAGTAACACTGGTGAAATCGAGGAAAAATGAAGGTAAATTGTAATTCTCTTACTAAGACTTGTGCTGTTTTTTAAAGGCAAGCTGCTTCAGTCAGTGTTACATTGAGGGCTTTCTGGACTGTATAAACAATGCTGTGAACTGCCCATTTTACCAGTAGCTAGCTGAGAACATAAACTGCTGTTGTGTTTCTGAGGGTGTTTTTTCATCATCTAAAATACGTGTGCTTAATTAAGACTAAAGTGTTTTATATAGTGTGAGCGAATCCCAACTGTCTGCCTAAAACCTGATAGTCAGTGGGTCTCGCATACTTCAAGACATACACTGAAGACTGAACTGTTTGCAAGAGGGGAAATGGTAGTTAGCATCTAAATTAAGCTATTGAACAACAGCAGTGATTACAGCTGGAGTTGAAGAAGAGATTGATACAATGGTAAATCTAGAGTGTAACTCGACTACAGCCCTTCATATGCCAAGTTTGTTTTCCTCTGTTTTCAGTGTAAATGTTGTGTAAAGCTGTGTTGTAAATATTCAGATCTCACCCTCCTTTTTTGGCTGTAGCTTCATCAGTTTTCTTCTTTCTTTATATTGCTTTTTTATAAAGAGTATGGCCTACGGCTGGCAAGCCACATATTTGTGAAAGAAATATCACAGGACAGCCTGGCAGCGAGAGATGGCAACATTCAGGAAGGCGATGTTGTGCTGAAGGTATAGTAAACGGTGGGGGTGCTTGTTCCAAGGGAAAGCACACCGATGGAGCTGTCTGAGAATGAGCTTGCTCTCAATAGCATAATTTCTTAGTAGAAGATGGGGTTTTTGAAATTATTTCAGAGCTGAAGAAATTTTAAGTCTAAATCAACCTTTCTAAGGAAAAGAATTATAAAGCTCTTTTGGTTGTTTTGGTGTTATTCCCCAGCCTTATTCAGGCAAGTAGTACCCAATGTAAATGCGTAATAGCAAATATTTGGGGTGGTACGAGACTCTGACCCTATATGCTTACTTAAACAATATAATGTTGTAGAATTGTGCTATTCAGCAGCACTAGAGCTTGTGTTCTGGTGAAATGCTGATTTTTGTAGAAATCAATATACCCAGAATTTTTTAATTGATACTAACAGCTTGTATTTCAAGAGACTTGTAAATCTGTTGGTGCAGAAAACTGTACCATTCCTTACTCTGGAGTATAGCGGTGCTGGTTGAAAAACCATAACTAATATTTTTAAAGCTTTGCATTAGTGGTACAGGCTTTGTCTTTGAAAGATGAGACTAACTGTTGATCTTAGGTTACAGTTTGGATGAGCCCAACAGTCTTCCATTTTATTGTGGTATTTTTGATAAATATCTCTAGCCATTTCTAATTATCAGACAGAAAACCACTATCTTTACTGGAGATTCACTGTTTGGGTTGTTTTTTCAATAAGTTTATATCTGCTCTTTTCTTACTCTGTTCCAGATAAATGGCACAGTGACAGAAAATATGTCCTTAGCAGATGCAAAAACACTAATAGAAAGGTCAAAAGGCAAGTTGAAGATGGTTGTTCAGCGAGATGAACGAGCTACACTGCTGAATGTTCCTGATCTTTCTGACAGTATTCATTCTGCTAATGCTTCAGAAAGAGATGGTGAGTGTTAATAAACTTGATTGCCAAAGGTAAAGACAAATTCCTTGTGTTCTGAAAATGGGAAATGCCCAAGTTGGGTGAGAGGGTGGGGAGGAGAAGAGTTTGGAGTACGATTGTCATGTGGGTAAATTCTTGTTTGAACAAAATTGAAATCCACACTTCCAAAAACAGTGGAGAAAAACAGTTTCTATTCCCATAGTTGTTTTTGTTTTTTTTTTTTTCAGGACTATTAAGTTTAGTTGTTCTGAAATAATAGATTTAACATCTTCATAAAAATTCTCTACAGAAGCTTTTTTCCATTTGAGCAGGTCACGCCACCATTTTAATTACAGTCATTTCATGGAAAACCAACTTTTATTTAACAGACATTTCAGAAATTCAGTCGCTGGCATCAGATCATTCCAACCGATCACATGACAGGCCCCGCCGCAGTCGTTCACGATCTCCTGACCAGAGGTCAGAGCCTTCAGACCATTCCAGACATTCTCCACAGCAGCCCAGCAACGGCAGGTGATGGCAGCATTGTCTTATTTTTCAATCAACTGTTTAATGTGATGTATAAGTTGTTAGGAGTGCTTGGATTTATACAGTGTGATGCAGAAATATGGTTGTTATATGGTATTCTAGCTCTCAAGAGATGCAGCTGATAATGATCCAAATTTTATTAGGCTTTAGGAGAAAGCGAACCTTTAACTTTAGTGTTACTCTCTTTAAAATAGACTCTTACAGCATTGTTGTATGAATGACAATGTAAATTTGAGAGTGATATATTTTAATATATGCAATTGTGTTTTGTTTTTGAGAATGCAGGTAGCTCCAAGGATATTAGAGATGACTACTAGCACAGTTCCCACTGAATGTCCACCCTGAGTAAACTTATAGAAATTGTGCTTTATTTTGGCATAGGCTTTTGATTTTTGTCATTAGCTTTCTTTAAAGTTATCTTCCATTTATGAATACATGTAATTCCTACAAAGTCAAGTGTATTGCATGGCAGATTTAACTTTTGGAACATAGATTTTAATATTTGAACTTGGTAGTGGAACATGCATGATAATTCTGCAGTAGATAAGTCCAAATGAAGCCAGAGGAGTGATCTGTTGTATGCTTTGGAACTTTTTTTTTCTGCCACGTGCAATTTTAGTCTTGAATAATGTGAATATGTCCTGTTCTGCATTTCCACTGTTTGTTGGACATAGGAATTTTTATTTATTAAAATAGAATGTCAGTGTTGGATTTCAGAGTCTACTAGATATTTCTAAGAAAAAAGTTTGCCTTCTGAGTGCTCATAGATGATGAAACAAAAGTTAGAATTGATCTGTTATGAATTCTGAACTCAAAGCCTGTATGTGAAGACTTGTAGATACTGTAAGTTCTGTAAAACAAATTAGAGCTGGCTGTTCCATAGCCTTTGCCCATGGGGAAAGTAAAACTTCTACCTTCAGTGTTTATATTTATCTTAAGGGTTAATAAAACTGCAAGACAGATCTTAACTGCACCTGGTTGGGGTTACAGATGACAAACATTTTTGTTTGTTTTCCATGTATGTTGTCTGGGGGAGATCCACAAGGCATGAAAGCTTGTTTTCAAGTAGGAATTCCGTATTAGTGAGGAGGAACTTAAAAGAAGGGTCCTGGATGCAGTGATATGAGACGCCTGTAGATTTGTTTTGGTTTGGAACTCTTATGTCTTGACATGCGTTTCTAATATGGAGTGGAAAGAGCTTGTGGACAGTGGAAGAACAAAAAATCCATTAAAACTGAAAGTATGACTGACTTAACCTAGTGCTAGTCCTTCTGTCGTATTACAGTGTGTTAGGTAGATAGTCACTTCCTCCCTATAGACTACACTGTCAGAAGAATTAAATCCTTCCTGAGAATGAACTTTGAAGTTATCTCAACTCTGAATGCATCCGCTTTATCTGCTTTATGAACAAGAACTACCTTGGCATGGATTGACTTCCTGTTGGACATGTCCCTTTCAAGATCAGAAAATTTGGGCCCTGAGCCACATGAAGAAGAACACGTTCAAGGCAACTGCTCTTAGTAGTGGTTATTTGTGCTAGTTCAAATCTGCTGTAAGATCAAATCAGTTGCAACAGCTTAATTTTTTAAAATTTGGAAAATCTGGAGGGGGGTAAAAAAGCTTGAGAACAACAAGCTGGGGAAGGAAAGGTACAAAAAGCCCTCATGTTGAGCTTAAGGAGGATATGAAAAATTGTGTTGACGATGATGAGTCTTTATTTAGACCCTGTTTGTATGTTAATGAGAAATTCCAGGGGAGTCATCTTAGTCCCTTCATACAAGCTGAACTACAGACTGACACTTAAGTCTGTACTGGAGTATAGGAATCTGCCAGCAGACATGCTTCAGCATTGCTTTGCTGTTTGGCAGGGTCTTCAATGTTGTCCATCTTTCAGTATTCTAAACTGGTATGTACACCAGTGTGCCTGCAGTTTTCCTGGATATAGAATTCCCATAACAATTACTATTTGAATTTTCTGTCAAGGAGGAAGTTCGCAGATGTCTTTTGAACAGTCTTTTTAAATTCTAAAGCATCTTCTTAATTCATTATTAAAAATTATTAATTATGGTTGTGCATTGTTTTTTCACTTGTGGAGATTTGTAAATTATCCACAGTTCAACTTGAAAGTGATCCAGGGAATGAATCTTAAAATTATCACCAGATAAAGCCCTGGAGATTTGGAAAATTTATAGTCAGCTGATACTGAACTAAATACTAAGTGAAAGAAGAGAAAAATACGTCTTGGCTTTGAGGAGGAGCTCTTGGAGCAGATCATGTTTTAAATGTTAAATATAGTTTTAAAAGATGTATAATTTTAAAGCTATGCAGGACAACAGCTGTTTAGGCAGAGGAAAAACGCAGCTTAAATAAAGGAGGTCAGATAACGTAAAGCAACTTCATATAGTCTGTGAGGAGCTGTACTTAAAAGCTAGAATGAGCAAAAGAGGTCTCTGCACCTTACATTGGAGAGTACTCAGGAGGAGGTATCAAACTATACTCCTTCTTACCTATCTGGTCTCATTGCTACCATAACAGGTCTTTGAGCTAAATAAGCTTTTGCTGTGACGCATCCTGAAAAGAGACATTTACAGCCAGGTGCTGGCAAGCCTGCCACATTACATCTCTGGGCTGCTCTTCACTCCCATTTGGGAACTCTTCCCTATGCTGCAGGCTGCTTCAGCCTCAGCAAGAAACATGTGGTAGCTTGAAGAAATCCCTGTAGAGGTCATCCTTAATTTTGAAAGGATGAGGCTGACTTCCATAATACAGTTGCCAATTTATGTATAGCATGAGAGATGTGTCATTTTGTCCATTTTCAAAACAAGTTGGAAAAGTTGCAATATAGGACTAAAACCAACCCTATTGACAATGTACTCAGGAAAGCACCTCTTGGCTCTTACAATCTTTGCATGCTGAACAGTTTGAGAAGTGCCAAAAACATGGAAACATCTTGCAGATTTTCATATTTTGCAGACCTTTCTGTTCAAACAAACATTCAAACTGTATGTTGCAGTCCATCTTTTTTTGCCTCTGAAGTAATAGCCATCACAGTCGATGGCACTAGCATGTAGCTGACTGCTTTTTGTGACTGAAGGTTATTTGAAAATTATTCTGGTAGACGAACTTTAAAAAACAAAAGGGTGGCGGGGAGGAGGGTGAGGTAAAGAGGGCCCTATTACAGCACAGATGTTAAACAATAGCATCACAGTGCACACCCTGAACAACACCTGTGTCTTTTGGGAATTGCAGCAGTCATTTTTTAAGTTTTGACCACAGTTGTGTTTCTATCAGTTTTTCCAGCTGAAACTTTGTCTTGCGTAGAGTAGAACTGACCTTTTGCAGGCATGCTGGTTGGCAGGGTGTATCTGCCTATATGTGTAGCAGTAGCCCAGTCTGGAACCATTGCTGCAGTTACTTGCCTGTCTTGTGCTGTGCTTTCACTGCCTGTGTTGTACTTAGTGTTCTTGAGAGCTGTTTTCTGCCCTACTTATATTCTTTTTAATATATGCAGGCATAAAAGCAACATAAAATGATTTTGAACTATGTGGAGAGGAAATGTAAAACGAACTTTTTCCTTGTGTAGTAACTGCAGCATTTTTGACCTTTTTTTAAAGGAAAACAGAGAGAGTGCTATTTTGAAATAATGTGTCTGTTAAGTGTTAGGAGATGCTCAGAAACAGGTACAGGTATAGAAGGCTCACGAGGAAATTTGCTGTTAACACTTCATTAACAAGTGCTTATTACCCGAAAATGTTTGGATGGGGAGTGAGATCAGTTGCATCTTATGCTACTGCTGGACTTTTTCTTTAGTTCTAAGACACTTAGTATGCATTTAAACAGCTAACTGTGGGTCTGTTTTTTAATGAGCCAGGAACTATTTTTCAAGGCAATGATTCCAGTCATGGTTTAATCTAGTGTTGGAAGTAAAATACATGATCTGTTAGACTATGCACTTAATTTTACTTAGAAATGACAATATCTTGGAAATCTGGAAGAGGAATAAGAAAATTCTTACTGGTGAAGTTTGGGAACAAAGTAGAAGGGTTCATGCTTGCTTTCTGTTTTGTTAGATGTAGTGGTTTTGGCATCATTTTAATCAAGTGCTCCCAAAAGAGTTTCTCTGAATAAAAAAAGGTACAAATAAGGATTTAAAAAAATTAGCCTGCTGTACTTGTTTTTGTCCATGACTTACAACAAGGTGGCTGCTTACAATGCAAGAGTGCTTGTGTCTTCCCAGATTGTGATGACTGCAGTATTTTTCTGTATTTTTTTTTAAGCTGCTTTCATTCACACAGTTCAAAAACTAGTAAGAGGAAACTACTGAAAAGTCTCAGTATCTCTTGACTGAACAGTTAGCTAAGCTTTGTTTGTGATGTTTCGAACTTCATGTTGCTTCAGGAAAACATGTTCTGCTTGTGTTTAGATCATAGATGTTTATTACTGCTTCTTTCTCATGCATCTTGGATAAGTAAATTTAATGGGATCTGTTTCCTTGCATCATAGCTGCAACTCGAAGTCTCGGTTCTGATTAAAATAGTCTCTACTCTGTATAATGGACTTTTCTGGATACATTTGTACTTTATAGAAAGTGATACTCATTGTTGCCTGGTAGCGCCATCTAGCTGTTGGTAGTGAAAAACCTTTCCTTCCACTTCCTGCCCCCCTCTCCCCTTGTACAGATTTTTCCTTTATGAGAGTAGATGGACTTGCACCTACTGACCAAGCCATTGTTGTCTTTCAGGAAGTACCTTTTCCCCCTCCATGGCAATTAAGTCTAATACTATATAAAAAGCTGTGAATTGTATCTCAAATAGTTTTTATATCCTGTTTTGCGAGCTCTTGGGAAGATATTGAGTATCTTGTGACTCTTCTATTTTGAATGCACGTGTTCTGGAATTAAGACATCTCTTTGACATATTGATCTGCTTTTTTTCTTCAATATGACAATGTTCACCTGCTTTGACCCTATTAAATTATTTCCTATTCAATAGTGTAGCAGTTAACATTTTGACATACAGTATATGTTCTTTTCAGTTGTACTCTATGGTACAGCTGATACCATATAACAGTATAGAAATACCTGATCTTTTGAGCTAAAGGAGTAGAAATTATGTTCTTCTGACCATTAGCTGCTCTCATTGTTTAAAGAAGAGAGACTTAATTATTTTAATTGGTCACATATCCCTTTGTTTTACATGGGAAGCATGTATAGGAACTGCATAAGAAGCAGCAAGTTTTCATTTAAAACACATGGATGACTGAGTGTATGAGAAGCACTCCTGCATTGTAATAGCTGTGGATTGAAAGTCTCATCCCTCTGAAGACTGAGAAGTCAGAGGCATGTTTGTGTTCTACCTTTTATCTCTGCAAAGCCCTACCAAGAGCCACGCTGGCAGCACTTGTGTTCTAGGGCAGCTGCTATGAAAAGGAGGAGATAAGTTAGCTTGATCACAATAAAGCCTAACAATTAAGTCTAAAAATCCATGATGCCTACAGGGAGGAGTGAGAAAAAGATACCGTAACTGCTCTTCTTCACTTCTTCCCTTTGTTTCTCAGTTTCTTATGTAGCTTTCGATACAGAGCACATGTATGACATTTGTGCTTGAAGCAGAGGCCAGTATGTCTTGTGATGCCTGTTCTGTTTCTAAAAAGTTGTGTCTAGTGAAATCCTTTATTAATATGAGGTTAGGGACAAAATGCTCAGATTCAGAAGTGGTAATAGTTGTTCATAATGTGAATGGTCTAAGCAAACTTCATTTACCTAGTAATTGGCAGTTCTTTACCCACCAAACCCAAACTTTATGAATGAAAGGATTTATTCTTTAGTCTTAGTAGACAAATGTTGTAGCAACAATTCTATATGTGGAGTGGAATCTTTTTTTTTTCTAATATAGTCTTCGAAGCAGAGAAGATGAGAAGACAACTAAACCAGGAGCTGTCTCTACACCTGTAAAGAATGGAGATGATATTTCTAAAACTATGGAAGAAGTGGCAGTCGAAAGAACTGAAAAACAAACTCCACCACTCCCAGGTAAAAACGTACTCATTATGCATAATGTTGTTGAGAATGGATGAGTAGTGAAGACTTCATGCCATTGCATCTTTGTGGAATCATTTCTGAAGTCTTAAAGTAGACTAAGTCCTAATTATTTCTTATTTCTGAGTATGAAGAGTCTTTGTAACCATAACCTCATTTATATCCTAGAGTTTCAGTATTTAAAACATAAGCTGTGGGGTCAGCCCATTATATAAAGGTCAAACTTCAGTGTTGAGAGCTGGATTTATAGGTGATGGTCATAAAGAGTTTTGTCCTGATTTCTCAAGCAAGGGTAAAATCATCATGTCTTCTCTGAGAGTCAAGCAGCAGACCGGTTCTTTAGAGTTACTGTAGCAGACAATATTTAAACAAGGACATCGTTAAACCTGTTCAGGGGAACTGTTCCCAAGGCAGAGCTCCAAACATGCTGAAATGCTTTGGAGCTGTCGCATCTACTAAATACAGTCATAAACTAAGAAGGCATTTGAACAAGTGTAGTACAATTAATAAAACAAGAAAAAAGTAGCATCCCTTTTTTTTTTCCAGAAATGAAGAATAATCTAGATGGCAGCAGATAAAAGCTAATTGGTATATAAAAGGAAAAACATAAGACGGTATGGTGACAGGATAGAGTTCTGGGCAAACTGACTTAAAGGATTTCTGTTTTTCCAGAAGAAGGAGCCTCAGTGGAATTAAAAGTGGAGAAAGGAGAAAGTGCATATGCTTTAGAGGAAGCTTTTTTTGAAAGGCTGGGTAGAATGAGGAAAAGAACATTGAAGCCTGAAAATATCTGAAGACTTAGGGATGAGCAGGGACACTTCTGCATATAGTATTCAGTTGCTCACTGAAGAACTGGAAGAGTTATGATGGTGATAGACTCAAATATCTGCAAATTGAGAACAGTAGGTTTTCTGATGCAGCAGCCGTTACTAAAAATATTGTCATAGGAGCTGACCTTTGGCAGTAGTGTTACAAAAATATGCAAATAAAGTAAGTTTATATTTGCCAAGATAGAAAAAAAAGATGTGATGGAGAGATGAGAAAAATGAATTCTGTATTTCTTTAAGATATTGAAGGTTAATAATTGACATAATACAAAGCCAGCCAGGATGGGAGAACTCTGAGATGGTTCTTGGTCCAAAGTAATGTACTAATAATTGTTTAAGGGACTGGAAAGCAAATAATAGGTACTGTTGGGATTTTGCTGGTTAGGGAGGAGGAAGTAGTTTTGTTGTTTGGTGACCAGGAAGAGTCACGTGGAAATGGTTTGGATGGGAGGAGATATAGGCCATTACATAAAGATAAAATTTAAATTTGTAGCTGCAGACGTATTTTTGCATGTTAATTGTGAGATTAAGAGGTGCAATAAGGGGCATAATCCTCTAACAGCTTCCCAGAAAACTCTAGGGAAATGAAGATCTTTTAAAGACAGTAAGGAAAATATGGCTAGAAAAGCAGTTTTTGTAGGTTCTGTGGCAGTTTTCTACTTAGACCAAAGGGGAGATGTCTGGCATCATTGGTTGTTTCAAAGGAGGGTGGAAGGAGAGTATTTGTTCAGAGGGATCATCAGAGGCTTAGGCTAGGAAAGAGTCATTAAAGACTTAAAAGAAAATGTTATGTCACTGTGTGGTAATGACAAAAGTCACATTAGAAAATAACTTATTACCAAATTGTTTTCTGAAATGTCTCATTTCAAACAAGTCTATGCAGTGATTTGAAAGGAAGATAGCAGAGTTGTTGGGAAGATCAGGGATATTTGGCTCATTCAAAGCCAACCTAGTTCGAAATCAACTTTATTCAAGTGTGCAGAGACAAGACTTAAATGTTGTCATTCTTCTGACATGACCAACCACGTAGCAGAGAAGAGCCCCTGTTAGTGTCCATTACTGTGGGAATACTAGTGGCAGGCTCCTCCTAGTGACTCCAGAGAATCTGTGCACCAGAGTCATAGTAAGTGCTGATCTTTAAAAACCACCCGCTGGACCACAGTAAGTGTTGAAATTTGCCAACCTCAAGGCACACAGCAGTAGCGTGAGTGTTTCTGGTATTTTTGTCTCAAAAATTGAATTCTTGAGGGAAGAGAGCCAATAGAAAATCAAGTTACTTCAGATGAATCAAGGTGAGCAACAACAGGGTTTGAAGTTGTCTTGTGATCGTGAAGCCTTCTAGGCCTTCGTTTATGGTGTTCAGAATACTTAGTGGAAGCTTTGGTGGTTTTTTTACTGAAGTATTAGTTGAACCAGTAATCGTGCTGCGTTGAATAGCACAGTGAGTGTCTTCCTTTATTGTAAGTTTCTAGTATTTCACTTTTAAGTGGTTTTGAATGGGGTAGAGGAAGGCTACAGGAATGGTAATTAAGCTCCTAAGTTAATCTTGGTTTTCTCACCTTTAAGTAACCAAATGGACATTTGAAATCTTTTAATGTTTTAATAGAACCAAAGCCAGTGTATGCACAAGGAGGTCAGCCAGATGTGGATTTACCAGTCAGTCCATCTGATGGTCCTTTACCTAATTCATCCCATGAAGATGGAATGCTTCGGTAATGTAATTCTAAACTCTGTTTTTGAATCTGCCTGGTCCTTGAGCAAACCAAGTGTTTATCCAAGGTGATGAGTAACCTGTATAAATGATCTGATGTGAAGTTCAATATGCTATCCTGACAGTTCTGTTCAGAAATATGAGGTTGAAGACTTCTGGTTTATTCCTGAGCTTTACTGGCACTTCCATTTTTCAATATGCCATTTTAAAGTTTATTAATGTACTATGGAAATTAGCTGTTAAGATGATAACTGTTGAGAAGAATTTGCAGTGTTTCTCCTCTTGGGTACCCCACTCTTCTTCTTGCCCAATCACTGTTTCTTGAGAGAGGAGGGATACTGCAGCATATTCATTTCAATGAATAAAGGTCATTGAAGAAATGTGCTAAGTCATTACGTGGATGTGATTCTACTGAACTGGGATCTCTTTTATGGACACTAGTGTACAGGAGAAAGGATTCCAGTTCAGTTTTTGTCTCAAATTCATTTAATCTCTGTAGAGCCAAAATAGATACGTATCCCGGCACAGTTCTTTTCCAAAAATCTTCCTTTTTTTAGAGTGTCAAAATGCTTCACATAAGTATATGAGTGTAAGACAAACCAACCCCTCTAAACAAGAAAATGCAGGTGGATTTTTTTGGAAGTGTGGCTTACAAATGTGTTGTAGTGCTGCAGATGACAAAGAGTTAACGGTATGCTTAATATGATATTCTTCCAACTGAAATGATAGGTGAAGTAGTTCTTTGCATGTATTCAGTTTTGAATTGACTGAGTTACTTTTTTGCTAATGCATCTCTAAGTGAATGTTTTCTGTATCTCTAGGCCAAGCATGAAACTGGTAAAATTCAGAAAAGGAGATAGTGTGGGCTTACGACTAGCAGGTGGCAATGATGTTGGTATATTTGTAGCTGGTGTTCTGGAAGACAGCCCTGCAGCAAAAGAGGGATTAGAGGAAGGGGACCAGATTCTCAGGGTACGCCTAAAACAATAACTGTACAAATGTTCTGTTTTACCATAGTAGGTTTTCTTTCTGTCGTGTTGAATATATTGCCTTTATAGCTCATACAAGTTTTTTTCCCATGTATATACTGACTAGATGACTTAATAGCAGAAAAATCTCCTGTTATTCTACTGTTGCAAGGAAGGTTAGTAAGCTTTATATCCAATTTCTTAGTCTAATTCAGTTGATAAAGTTGTTGGGGATTTTTAGCTGCTGTGTTGCAAAATATTCGGAGGTCTCTATATGTTGTAGGTGCTCCATAATATAACAACTTCCTATTACTCTGGAAGCTAGGCTTTTATCAAGAACTAAAGTTAGAGTATTTAGAGATACAGGAGATAACTTGAGATAAATGTCCTTGATGTGTATGTATGAAAATGAATTTTAAAAAAAGCTATAAATTGATTTAGATTTACCATTGTGTATCGAAAAATCTGTTCTAATGTCATATACTAAATCCAACTGATTACTTCATTGATGCCAGGTAAACAACGTCGATTTCACAAATATCATCAGAGAAGAAGCTGTCCTTTTTTTACTTGATCTTCCTAAAGGCGAAGAAGTAACCATTTTGGCACAGAAGAAAAAAGATGGTAAATATTTGTATATCAATGTGGTAGATAACTTAGAACAACATAAGAAGTATAGGGAATGATGGTTAGCTTGTGGCTTGCAGGAAATTAGCACCTTATGAACACTGTTAACTTCTTTTAGATTTGGGATAGGTTACTGGTAAAAAAGGATTAGAGATGGATATTGTAACAGTCCACCACCACCATCCATCTCCTCCTCTCCTCAACAAACAAGCAAAACCCAAGACACCCTCAAGAGGGGATGGAGAGATGGAGAACAGCCTACCCTTACCCCCCAGAAAACACCCAGCAAAAAAAAACAACCAACCAACCAAACTCTAGCATCTTTTGAAAGTATTGTCTTTAAACGTTGGGGGAAGCAGGAGTGTCTGTGGCAGTTAGACCACTGAAAACAAGCAATTACACTAATGTGCATGCATACACAAACTTCTTCCCAGTAAGATTCATTTCTTCCAAGGGAACTTAATTAAGCTTGCACCAATTTCTTGACCATGAAAGTTGAATTTGTGGGTAGTTCACTGTTAATAGTTATGCTGCTTAAAAAAGAACAGTTCTGAGATACTAAAGCTTCTTGAAACAATGCTGTGTATTTGAAGCAAGGAGAATTAAGGTGCAGCAGGGTTTTTGAGTAATTCTTGTGAGCATTAGGACATTACTTGAACTTAAGTAACACTTCATATTTTGGGGTTTCTTTTTCTTTTTTTCAGTTTATCGCCGCATTGTTGAGTCTGATGTAGGGGATTCGTTCTATATAAGAACTCATTTTGAATATGAAAAGGAATCTCCTTATGGGCTAAGTTTCAACAAAGGTGAAGTGTTCAGAGTAGTGGACACTCTGTACAATGGCAAACTGGGTTCATGGCTGGCGATTCGAATTGGCAAGAATCATAAGGAAGTTGAAAGAGGTATCATACCTAACAAAAACAGGTATGATCTTAAAAGACTTAAATTGCTGTTTTACAATTTTATTTAATTTTTTTTTAAATTATGCATCTGTATGATGAATGATTGTACTTGTTTGTAGGATGCTAGTTTATAGAAATGATTCAGTCAAAGTGACAGTGTTAAAACAAATTGAGGTTAAATATTTGATCTCTGGATTTGATTTTGACTCTTCTACAGTCCACAAAAAAACTTAAAACTAAGTTTTAAGAGTGCAAGAGACAAGGCTATTTAAAGCTTTAGAGATGTGGTATAAGCTTCAGTAGTTCAATCTTGTACTTTCTAATACAGAAAGAATGAAAGCCTGATTCAGCAGGTGGTAGTGGCTTTTTTTTTTTTTTTTTTTTTTGAAGTAAGCTTGCTAGTCAAGTGTTACTTGAGAAGCTGACTTCCATGAATAACTAGCTGGAATTTGTTTTCATCTTAGAGCTGAGCAACTAGCTAGCGTACAGTACACGCTTCCAAAGACAGCAGGAGGAGATCGAGCAGATTTTTGGAGATTCCGAGGTTTGCGTAGCTCAAAAAGAAATCTCCGAAAAAGCAGAGAAGACCTTTCTGCCCAGCCTGTTCAGACAAAGTTTCCTGCCTATGAAAGAGTTGTTCTTCGGGAAGGTATAACTTCATTCTTACTGTTGTGGGTTAACAGGCTTGTGGGGTTTGCTTTGTATTAACCTATGTATTTAAGAGTATCTTGCATTTGTTTTAAAAAGTTGATCTATTTTGATTTTTTGTTTTCCTTCAATTCTAGCTGGATTTCTCAGACCTGTAACCATTTTTGGTCCAATAGCTGATGTTGCAAGGGAGAAACTTGCCAGAGAAGAACCAGATATCTTTCAAATTGCAAGTAAGTGTGAGATCAGGATTATTTTTTTTCCAGTTACGAAATAGTCAACTTTCTTTTGCTAGTTGCTTGTTTCTACATGATTACTTCAGCTGTTAAAAAATATAACAAGATATTGACAATGTTCAGGAACAGACTAAATAGCTCTTTGACTGACTGGTGGCTGATAATTCTCTGAAGGTACAAGTAATATATATAGCCTTCTCAAATTTCATAGCTTCATAGAATGTTAGGGGTTGGAAGGGACCTCTGGAGATGGAGTCAACCCCCCCTGCCAGAGCAGAACCTATCTTATCTAGGGCAGGTCACACAGGAACACATTCAGATGGGTCTTTAAAAGTCTCCCAGGAAGGAGACTCCACAGCCTCCCTGGGGAACCTGTTCCAGTGCTCTGGAACCCTTACAGTAAAGAAGTTCTTCCTCGTGTTGAGGTGACACTTCCTGTGCTTCAGCTTATGACCATTGCCCCTCGTCCTATCGCAGGGTACAAGTGAAAACAGGTTGCCCCTTTCTTCTTGACACCCAGCCCTCATATATTTATATGCATTAATTAGATCCCCCCTTAGTCTTCTCTTCTCTAGACTAAAAAGCCTCAGGTCTCTCAGCCTCTACTCAAAAGGCTGTTGTTCCAGTCCCCCAGTCAGCCTCGCAGCCCTCTGCTGGACTCTCTCAAGCAGATCTCTGTCCCTCTTGAAATGGGGAGCCCAGACCTGGCCACAATACTCCAGCTGAGGTCTCACCAGGGCAGAGTAGAGGGGGAGCAGGACCTCCCTTTTTCTGCTGGACACACTTTTCTTAATGCACCCCAGGATACCATTGGCCCTCCTGGCCACAAGGGCACACTGCTGTCCCATGGGCAACTTGTTGTCCACCAGGACCCCAAGGTCCCTCTCCACAGGGCTGCTCTCCAGCAGATCACCTCCTAAACTGTAGTGGTGCATTTTATTACTCCTTCCTAGGTGCAGGACTCTGCACTCATTCTTGTTGAACCTCATTAGATTCCTCTTTGCCCAAATTAAAATTTCTTTTTAATTCAGTACTTTTTAATTGGATTTCTAAGTGCTTTTGTAAAGTTGTATTGGTTTTTATGGCTGAATTGGTGTGTAGATTTTCTTGTAGTATTTTGAAGTGAGAAGTAACCTCACTTCAACCTGAGTTGATGATTTGAGCTTTGAAGTGATTTGTTTTATCTTAATGAGAGAATGTAAAATAAGCTGTAAACTTACAGCAGACTTCTTCTGTGTCCTCTTTACCAGAAAGTGAACCAAGAGATGCTGGTACTGACCAACGTAGTTCTGGCATTATTCGTCTTCACACTATTAAACAGATAATTGATAGAGTAAGTAGTTTGCTTTTTTACATGTAACACAAGAAGAGTAAAACTGGTATTAAGGATAGTGTTGGATGCTTTAACTGTAGAAGAATAGCTAATAGTGTTTGCTTTAAAAACAACTTTCTAATTTTTCTATTGGTTAGTAAAAAAAACCCCACCCTTTTCCTTCTCCATATTGGTAGCTGCAGCCTAGAAGTAATTCTAGGCTTTGTTCCAGGAACTGTTGTCCTCTCTGTGGAGGATGTTTTGAAAAAAAATTTAGTATAGAAGTGATTCACTTTCTTGCCTCTGTCCTTTTTATCATGACAGGACAAACATGCTTTATTAGATGTCACTCCAAATGCGGTAGACCGTCTGAATTATGCCCAGTGGTATCCTATTGTAGTGTTCCTAAACCCTGATTCTAAGCAGGGTGTAAAGACTATGAGAATGAGGTTGTGCCCAGAATCACGAAAAAGTGCCAGAAAGCTGTATGAAAGAGCTCACAAGCTACGCAAAAATAATCACCATCTCTTTACAAGTAAGTGATTAGAGGTACTGGATTAATATTTCTGAGAGGAAGGGGGGGAGGTGAGATGAGAATAGACTCTTTCTCCAGAATTCTTGCAGATGGACCAAGTCAAGAAAATTGTTGACTTAATCAGACTCCCCTGTTCAATAGTCAGTAGTTCATTCTGTGTGTTGTTTGTAGGCGACTGCAGAAAGATGGAGCCATCTGAAACACCAGAATGACATTTTTAATAGATCTGGTGCCTTTGCAAGATGGCCAGCCAAAATCAAACATTTCAATAAATAGCAAGTGCGGGATTTTTTTTTGTTTGTTTGTTTTATTTTGATTTGTTCTGGTTTTTGTTTTGTTTTTTTTTTGGTCTGGCTGAACTGAAGCCTCACTTTATTCTAAGTTACTGTACATTTTAACCCTTAGGAAATAGAAATTTAAAACCACACCAGACTTTAAGGTTGCTTTGAGTACTAATCTTTACGTTGTAGGTTAAAACTATGATTTAAACAGTAAGTTTATATTGCTTTTATTACTGGTAGTACAGATCCTTCTCATAAGTCAAACTAACCTGTTGTACTTCTAGCTACCATTAACTTGAATTCAATGAATGAAGGCTGGTATGGAGCTCTAAAGGAAGCAATTCAGCAACAACAGAATCAACTAGTGTGGGTTTCAGAAGGAAAGGTAAGAAATAAAGTTTGAGGGGAAATGAAAAAATTGTGTGTATTAAAGGTTCTTTGTACTTCTGTTGTTACTGATGTTGCAGATATATTTTTGCTTTGAAGACTTTGTGGGGACTGGATGTTTTTTTTCATGAAAGCTTCTGAGTGTTCTGCTGCATTGGTACTAGGAGCGAGGTTGCCTAATAATGAATTACTTTTTGGTGAATGTAAAAGCATGTGCCACATCTGTTATTTCTGATTTCTGACTTCTGAGAACTGTTTTCCCACTCCTGAGAACACAGATACAAAATCACAAGTTAGTGTTCTGTTTCCCACTAAAACTCAATGTGCCTTCTCAAGCAGCATGGTAGATCAAGCTGCACATTAGATCGATCCTCTTGAAGAACGAATAGCAAGTGAAGTACCAACTACAAGTAAGCAAACGATGAATTGGCTATTCCGACATGTTTCATAAAACTTGAATTTCTGTTCAAATTGAGCTGCTTTCATCTCCTTATAATTAGCTTTAAGTTAATGAATACAATATTGTAATATCACTTGGAAGTGTGGCTTTGTGCAAAATGAATTTGAGCTAGACTGCAGAAAAGGCTATTGCGTGTAAGCCTAACATCTTCAACGACTGAAAACCTGATATCTCCTCCCCGTGATGTTCAGAATTGTTGAATTCTCATACTGTTGCAGTGCTGCTGGATTTGGAATAGAACTGTTTTAACTATCAGACTTTCAGTTACAGTTTGGAACACGTTAAATGCATTCTGTTTGTTCTTAATTACTCGCAAAAAAAGTTTCCAGGCTTTACATTGCAAGACCAAAGGCATTCTTTTAAAAGGTACTTCAGTAAACTCTTATTTTGTTGGACGCAGGCAGATGGTGCTACGAGTGATGACCTTGATTTACATGATGACCGCCTTTCTTACCTCTCAGCTCCTGGTAGTGAATATTCTATGTACAGCACAGATAGTAGACACACATCTGATTATGAAGATACAGATACAGAAGGAGGTGCTTATACTGATCAAGAACTGGATGAAACGCTGAACGATGAGGTTGGAACTCCTCCTGAATCTGCCATTACACGTTCTTCTGAACCTGTTAGAGAGGATTCTTCTGGAATGCATCATGAAACTCAGACTTACAGTACTTACGCATCTCAAGCTCTGGCACAGCCAAATCTCAGAATAGATTCTTCAGGATTTAAAACTACTTCTCAGCCGGTAAGGAAGTGGTTTTATAATCTGATCGCTATACATTTACTTCAGGTGGCAAGTTCTCTCGAACAAGAAATCTGTGTTTATAATATTACCACCAGTATTAGGAGTGCATACAAGTATCTGTCAACAGCGACCATGTTATAATGAGGTGGAGAACCATCTTGCCCTATCTGTTTTAATGACTCATTCTAACAGGAGGGGGGTTGAAGTACCATTCTACCTAGAATAAATGTTTTACTTCTTTAGTTTTCAACATAATGAGTTTCTGGAAGTGCTAGTGCATGAAGCTTCCAGTACATTTCATTCTACATCTAGCTGCATTGAGCAAAGCATTTAAATTATTTTAATAGAAGTTAAAAAGTCAAACAGTGATTCAATAGTGGTATATTTAAAATATTTTAAACACTTCACAGAAAGCAGAAGCCTCACCTGCAGTCCCTTACATTTCCCCGTCGCCTGAACCAAACCCTGCAACCTCATCAACCTCTGCTGTAAATGCTAATGTAAACCTAAGTCATGTCAGACTGGAGGAGCCTACTGCTGCTCCTTACAACTCTTACCAACCACAAGCGGGCCCCTTAAGAACATCAAGTACTGAGGGAGCTCATATAGTCCTAAGAGATCAAGAGCCATCATCCTTATCGCCGCATATAGATCCAGCAAAGGTACCTATGCCACGTTGTTGTGCTGATTTCCTGCTATACATCAAGCTAGCACATGATCTTTTTGTTTTGCCCTTATTTGGAGCATTCCTTTTTTTTTTCCTATAAGAGATCATGCAGGTTACAAAAAAAAAAAAAAACAACCCAGTGCATCTGAATTGCTAAGCATCATCTAATGTTTTGTGTGCATGGCTTCAAACTACATACTTGCTTCTCAAAAAATGATATTTTTAAAAAGAGGCTGCAGTCTGTATTTTGATTTTACTTTATACGTGTGATTTCTGGCTTGTCAGTGTTCTTCTGTTTATTGAGGCCTTGAGAAAAATCTATTTCCCTAAAATTACACTAGATCTTTATATACTTTAAATCATGCCAAGTCCTTGATCATGAAAATGAATCCACTTTGTTGTGTGACTTTGTATACTTCATCAGCAGCACTAGAACAAACTTAAAATAGGTAAATCAATTTACATCCACTCTTCCTACTCTCTGCAGAAAAAAGTGTGGGCCCCACACTTCTACCCACATACCCCAAAGATGAGAGACCATTGCCATTGTTTCCCTTTTTAATTTACTTCTGTATTTTTGCTTAAAAATAGTACTGGAAGGGGTCTTTGGAATCACCAAGTTCATCTTCCTGTGATTGCAAGCAGCTGAATCAAAATTGTTCTGCTTTTAGACAAAACTAAAGTGTATATTTAAAACTTAAGCTTAAAACATTACATTTCAAGGGCAGCCACAGTTGCTCTTCATTTTAACTGAGTATTCTGCCTCTTTTAACAGGTGTACCGAAAGGATCCATATAGTAATGAGGAGGTGTCCCGACAAAGCTATGTCTTAAAACAGCCAGCAATTAATCATCCAGTACAGAGACAGGAAAGAGACCCAAATCTGATTTACGAATCCCAGACTCAGTATGCTGAGAAACAACCTAGTAGGGACTACGAACAGTCAACATACAGATACGATTCTGCAAACTATGCAGATCAATTTTCTCGTGGCTATGACCCTCGCCTACATTATGATGACCGTGTGCCTCCCTATGAGGAGCACTGGGCATATTATGATGAAAAACAGACCTACAACCAAACAAGAACAGCTTATGACAACCAGCCTCCTAGAGATCTTGATTCCAGACAAAATATGGAAGAGAGCACAGAACGCAGCTATTACCCAGCACAACCTCGTTTTGAGGAACCTCCTCCAATGAGCTATGATGGCAGGCCTCGCTATGAGCATGCACCCAAAAACTTCAGCTTACCACAAGTGCGCTACGAAGAACAGCATACTGTTGCGTATGACACGCATGGTAGATACAAACAAGAAGCTCAGCCGTACCAGTCAGCCATATCTCGATCTCCTGAACCAAAGCAGTACTTTGATCCACATGTAAGGGGCTATGAACAAGGTCCTTCTCAAGCTTATAATGCTAAAGCTGGACAATATGAGCCTTCTCATAGCACTTCAGGTGTTTCTCTTCCTGCTCCCCCTTCATCACAAACCAAACCAGAAGTTTTGCCTTCTAACAGTAAACCACTGCCCACACCTCCATCTCTAGCAGAGGAAGAAGAAGATCCAGCCATGAAGCCACAGTCTGTGCGAAGTAGAGTTAAGATATTTGAAAGAAGAAGATCACCATCTTTGGAAAAAATTAAGGACCCAAGTGATACATCGGCTATCAAGGTAAGTCATTTTAAGTTTTTTCTTCGTTCCTGCTTTTTGCTGCTGAGTTTACATTGCAAGAAGTAAAATACTGTCTTGGTATGAAAGCCTTAACTGCTTGTGGGACAGCCTCTTGGCAACCTAACTGCTGTTTGTTTTGAAAGCAGAAGCTGAAAAGTCCTGTAAAAACAGCGAGGGGAATCTTTCCATGCTGACAACTTGTAATTCATTGATCCTTCACTAGTATTTTATTTTTGTTTTCCTTGTGGGGAAGGTGGGGCAGTTTTAGTTTTCTTACTCAAAGTACTGTAACTTTCTAAATGCTATAATCTAAGGCAATATGCTGTACTTTACTTTACAGCCTCCAGAACTAGCACCTAAGCCTACACTCACATCTGTGAGTGGTCCGAAACCAACTTCTCAAAACCAGTATGAACACGACAAAACACCTTACAGGTAGATGCACAACTGATTAATTTAAATTGAGTTTTCAATATGATATTAGAACATTCAGAAAACACATTGTAGTGGGTCAAATTGGAAACGGCAGAGTGGAGAGTTGGAGTGTGTCAGTAAGATTTCTGTGTCAAAAGTAAGGCAGGGCATCGACTCACTTCCCATGGACATGATGGCTGGGAAATTGTGGAAAAAAACATTGTGTCCTTCCCTGTTTTTGAGGAAGAAACAGCCAGTATCTCATCTTACTTTTTTTTCTATGTTTGAGATAATGAGTTAAAACTAAAGGGAAAGGGTGAGGTAAAGGGAGATAAAGGTTTTTCTGTGTTATGTCACAGCTCTCTAAGTTCCATGCAATATAGGCTAAAAGGCAAGGTGTGCAATTATAGCATTTATGTTTCAATTGCGTTATTACTATCTGGGTTATAAAATAAAATTTTTAAATGTAGGTACTGGTACTTGTTTAGTTGTGCAAGGCAATTGTATATTATTCTTGATTAGGGCCCCAGAACCACAGAGACCTCAAGTGAAGCCTCCTGAAGATATTGTGCGTTCAAATCATTATGATCCTGAAGAAGATGAAGAGTATTACCGAAAGCAGCTCTCATACTTTGATCGCAGGAGTTTTGAAAACAAGCCATCTGCACAAGTTCCTACAAGCCATCATTCTGAGCCCACTAAACCAATACATTCGCAGAATCAGCTGAACTTCACCAGTTACTCTAAGTAAGTTTGGGGATTTCTTTTTTAGTTGGAAAAAGGAGGGAGGCATTTAGGACTAAACCAGAAATTCTGCCTCTGTGAATAAAATTCCAGGGATTTGTGGTGTCTACTTGAAACTACTGTGTATTCACAAAGTCAATTTTCCTGTTTAGATAGAGCTTCAGTTTGAAAAGTAACTGCATAAATTTGGATTTTTGTAAATGAAATGAATAATTATTGTAGGTTTTAGGAGCTTTAACATGTTACTGCTTCTGCTTAGGAACAGAACAAAACTAATTAATTCCTTAGTATATCTAATACTGAGTGCTTAAATAGCTTTTAAAGCAGAGGTTTTGGTTTGTTCCAGTTTTGCATGCATTTATTCCACAGACAGGCTTGTACACATTAGCTGTGTTTGACATTAGGAAACCAAGCCTTTGGGGAATATTGCTGAGGTCAGAATGTAATCTGTCGATGGAAACATCTGTTTCCTGTATTGTTGTGCTTCCTTGATTTGGAACATTTTGATATAGAAATCGTGTGAAAGCTCATACACAGATGTAGCTCAGGTAAAGAACTGGGTATTGTGGAGAACACTTGCACAAACCTTATGAATATTCCTCACAGTTACCTAAAATTTCAGCATTTGTTTTGATTCAAACCATAACAATGTGTTTGTAGCTGTTACAGGGGAAAGCTGTCTTGGCTTGCTGCATGTGTACTGAACATGGGGTGTTTTGGAAGACTGTGGTTGCATTCCTGCTTGAAATCTGGGCTGTTCAGGTCAAGCTGAAAATCTGGCAACCTTAATGTGAATGAGCTCTTTAGAGTGAAATAATCAACTGGCTTACTCAAGTTTTATAGTGTTAAGGGTGTGTGCAAGCTGTCTTTCATGTACTTGATACACTGTGTTCCAGTGCTCATCTTAAAGGATTTGAGCTAGAACATGGGAATCCTCTTGTTACTTGTATTATATTGTCTGTCATCTCCAATGTCTTCCTCTGTGAACTGAGAGTTTTGTAATCTTTCCAAAAGCTTGATAGGTTTTAAAGGATTCACTTTTTTTCCCTAAAGAACAAGTCTGCATATGGTAGCTATTTCTTATTTTACTTTTTTATATGTTAAGGAAGGAATGTATGTAGCAGTCTGTAACCAGTTCTAATTCTCAGTCAAGGGTGTTCTTTATCTTTTCACTTGCCCTGTCTTCTGATAGAAAGATGGGAACATCTGTCCTGTTTCCTAGGCATCATAGGAAGAGACCTAAAAATATCTTGGCTGTCCTCATAATGTATTGCAGTAGCTTCAGAATTATGTTCCCACATGTGAAAAACAATGCTACATGTAGACTGTCCAGTGTGAGCTGTAGCCACAGACTATGTTGCCGTTGTAAATGCAAGTAATGCTCCGAGAGAAATGCTTTTGTAAGCTTTCATCAAAGAATTGTGGAGATGGTAAAATTTTTCAGATGGAGAGTGTTGTAAGCTTCTTTTTGTAAGTTTGTTATACTCTGCAGTGTTCTCACATGCTGAAAAATATGTGCAGCTATTGAAATTTTCTGGCAGAACAGCTATTAATTGAGAAAGATTGTCCCATAATTCTAGCTACCACTTCTGTCTGTCATGACGTTTCCTTTTTTTGACTACTCACGTCTGGTTTTATTTTGATTGTGAGCTAATGTATGACTTTGGGGCTTATATTTAACAGGAAGGTGGCATCTTACTGCCACAGAGGAATAAGATGATACTGGTTTTAAGGCTGATAATTTCATACGTCAAGGGACAAAAGTGTATTGTGTGTTTTTCATTATGAAAGAATGTAACCCTTAGCAGGAAGGGACAGACATGGGAAAGAAAATTTACCCAGAGTAGTCATGTGCAAATAGACAAAGACTTAAATATTAATGAAAGTGGAAAGATATAAACAAGAATGTTACTCAATTAGACACTATTGCCTCTAGAAGCATACTGCAGTGTCCTTGCATGGAAACACACAACAGTTACAGTCTTGAGAAAGCATTCATGTTTAGGGTTATCCTTTCACTAGCTTCCAGTTTGTACCCTGTTATATACATGTTGTTCATCTTTCTTCCAGTGAATTCATATGTCAGTTGCTGTTCTGTGAGTAAACTCATCTAAAAATGAACAGGACAGTCAAGTTTGGATGATATGGGAACTGTTGATTATCCAGTCTCTCACTCCTGTGTAATCCATTTACTGCATTTTGGGTACAGAGGGCAAGTTTCATTTCTTCAATAACTATCTTTTTTTTTTGGTTAAACTTTGTGTGAAGTTGTTTGCCACTGAGTCAGTAATGGGGAAAAATACATACTCTTGTAATGTGTGTTCAAGTTTGTTAACTCTTAATTTGGGGTTTTATTTGCATCATTTAGGAAACTTATGTCATTACTAAAGCTGTTTTGTACAGGTAATGCCATATCTGCAGTAACTGTAGAATAAATGGTAGTTTCTGTTGATATGAGAAAATAATGCAGCTTGTAAATGGACGGGTTTCTGTGGATCTAGTTGGAACAATTTGAGGCATCTATTTGTGTGGCTGCGAGTAGTGGGTTTGTTCCCTCTTGGTTGTGTTGTTACCTGTGTGAGCTTGACATGCTGCAGAATGAGGTAGCTTACCTCAACTTGGTACTGAGTAGGGTTAGGACTACTCACATGATCAGTTACAGCCTCATCTGAGGAGGCAAGAAGGAGCAGTGTTGTGTGTTAACTTGTTAAATTGCTCTAGCTGAGCTCTTATGTGTCTGTTACAGAGTTAGAGCTTTTTGAATGGGAACTGAAGATCAGCAATGCAGTTTGATAAGTTCTCTGGTGTAACCTGAGGCTTATAACCTGTTGCCTGCTGTTCATTGGTTCATTTCTGATTCATTTCAAATTGCAGTCAGACTTTCAGAAGTTGATCAGTGCCTTTCTTAGCTTTGTAACGTCCTCCCATGGAGCAGTAAGACTGTTGGTGTCTGAAATTGTTGTCCATAACATTTTTATGCCTACACAGCAAGTGAAAGGGTGAGGGAAAGGTGTCCTAATGTAAAATGTATTTTCTTGCCAGTTAAATGTTAAAAAATAAAGGCAAGAGTATCCGTATACTTTTTCTGTCTTTCCTAGTATTCATAAGCAGTTGTTTTAAGGCATCCTTTTAGGAATTCTTGCGCACAATCGGAAGTGGTTTATGTGTGGGCTCCTCTTTTGGATGAGCTGATAGCAAATATTTCTGGAGCACTGTGAGTGTACTCTCAGTATATGATCTGCAATAAAAAAAAAAAAAATCATGTTTGTATGTTAAGACTGAGAAAATTAATACAAATTGGACCATACAAGATGGTTAGAATATGGGGGTTATATTTGCTCGCTTTTGCCAATATATTGAATTGTATTGCTTATACAGATTGTAAGAAATGGCTTTGTGTAATTTCATGTGCTTTCAATATATGTGAGTTTGAAGATCTTGACTACCACCTAATTAATTGATAAGTCTCATGTTAAATACAGTAGATGATCCTTGTACATAGGCCTACGGTAAAGGCCTTAACAGAAACATCGTTGTTAAAAGCAGTGCCTCTGTTTGAACAACCTTCTCATACGAGTACTACAAGGACTAACATAAAAAGTGTGAAGAAATAATATGCTCAAGATAGAATGACTATTTTCTTTCATTCTTCTATTGCTGTTTGCTTTGCCATCACCTAGATTTCTTGGCTCTTACACTAGCTATGACTACTTGAAAAGGAACATCAAGTGGTAAGACTGTTGTTGATGTGAGGATGTTTTCAGGTGTCCTCTCACTGTTACATTTCATCACAGGCATTATGTGCACTTAAAATTTAAAACGTGCAAATTCTGAAAGTTCAATATGTTGTAGTCAAAAATTACAGGTATTTGTGAAACCAACCATTTCCTGAGACAAACCTTTGCAGAAATAAAAAAAAAAAAAGTTTTGAAAACAACACTTTATCTACACTATGCACATAAAGCTAGTGAAGCTTAAGCTAATTACATTTCTAATTAAGATGGCATTGTTCAAATACTAGGTGTATTTAGAAAAGTTGTACTAAAATCTGTTGTCCTATTGGCTAATAATGCTTTACAGAAACAACCCACTCATTCCTCAAAAAAAGTGGTTTTATGTCTTTATTTTTAAGACCTTCTAAATTAAAGAGCACTTTTGCATTGAAATTACTCCAAACAAACGTGAAAAACTAAGATCTTGTAGGCAATTTATGCAAATACACCTGAAATGTCATCTGCCCTTTGTTTGCCATGGTTTGTGTTACTAATCTCCCTCTAAAGATTCAATGTTGTCTAATCTCTTGTGCTTATCAGTAGATGGTTTTTCTACTTGAGACAGGATGTTAAGGAAAACTGTGGTTTAGTGTTTATAGGAAGAGATGGAAATCAGGCGATAATAGAAGAGAAAAAAAAAATAGAGAATGCAGAAGCTCAAGAACCTTGAAGAAACCTAATAGTCAAATTGTTTTCTTCTTTTATTTCAACAGGGGGAAACCAGCTGATACTGAATCTATGGATAGGCCTGTTGGTGAGAAACGCTATGAGCCAATCCCTCAAGTTACAACTCCTCCTCCAGCTCCTTCAGTCCAGTATACACAACCTCAGTCCATTAATAGTCCTGTCATGTCGCTCCCAGCACATCACAAGCCTGCACTTTCTGAAGGTGAGCAGTTGGAAAGCTGACCCCTCTGAAGTGGTAACACATACCACTTGTCAGGTGCAGGTGTGGTTACTTCGGCATGTCTACACTGGGAACTATGTTGTTCTCTAACTGAAACTTGAAATAATTATTAGTGAAAAATAGCTTTTTACTATATAGTGAGATCACTTCCAGATGTTAATAGTCACTATAACTGTCTCTTCTATATTTAGTGGTCTCAGCACAGATGAAGTAGAATTTCCTGTACTTAAAAAGAAGAAAAAAAGTACCTCTGTATGCTTTGGTCCAGAATTCTTCAGGCATTGAGTAATAGCTGTTGGCTTCCAAAGACAGAAGAAAAGGTTGTTTTCAGTTTCACATAAAGAGGATTGCGCAGTCCAGCTGAGTTGTCCAGTTTGTGCAAGTGCATGACAGTATTTCAGTATGGCTTTTCTTTTTTGTTCTGTCAGCTATTTTTTTTTTTTTTTTGTGGTATAAATCAGTCTAATTTCCTTATTGAAAGGTCATGCCATTGTATCAAACATATGTTTAATGAAACATTAGGTAACATTCCAGAACATACGTGATATTAGAGGTGGACAGATGATCTGAGGTAGCCAAGCTGAACCTATTTTTTATATTGTAGATAAAGAACGGACTAAAAGATATTCTTATGCTGTAGTGTGTGTGACTAGAGATTTGATTGTTACTGACAAATTCTGATATTTTTATTTGCATTGCAGTTAACTCTGTATCTGACCCTCCTCCACCTCAGAATAAGCCAGCAATTTTCAGATCCTCTAGAGAGGACACTGTGCAGTCCACTTTTTATCCTCAGAAGAGCTTCCCTGACAAAGGCCCAGTGAATGGAACTGAACAGATTCAGAAAACCGTCACTCCTTCCTACAACCGTTTTACAACAAAACCGTATACTAGTGCTGCCAGGCCCTTCGAGCGCAAGTTTGAAAGTCCTAAATTCAACCATAATCTCTTGCCAAATGAAGCTCAGCATAAACCAGAGTTGCCATCAAAATCTCCAAATTCTCCTCAACCAGTTTTGAAAGCACACAGCTCATCGCAGCCTGCTGAGTTTGATAGTGGAATGGATACCTTTGCTGTACAGGTCGACAAGCCTAAATATCAACCAAATAATGTTAATGCTGTGCCTAAAGCCATTCCTGTAAGGTAAGTTGCTGCTTTTTTCTTTTCATTAGTACATTTAGAGTTTATCTACATAACATATAAATACTTGCTTCATTTAGAGTTTATTATACATTTGTATCTATGAAAGCTGTGAAAAATACAGCTTTTCCTATTTTTCTGTGGTTCAAATTTCTCTTGATGTTAGAGTTGAAAGATTGATATTATGATACCAAAATTCTACCAAAGGGCATTAGAGAGCATTTGGGTAGACACTTAAAGCATCTCCTACATCCTTGTAGCAACTTGTATCCTGTTGTTAGAAAGCAGAATGCCTTTTATTCCCTGTTTCTCGGACCGTAATTATAAAGTTTCTGGTAGATAGTAATCATTCGTCCTCTCAATATGTTTCTAGAAGATGGAATTAATATGAAGGATAGCTGTTGCACTCATTGGTGTTGGTTCTCTGTGCTTACACGTGCATAAGGGCTATTTAAAAAATACTTGTAAAAGGAGAAAGCCATTTGAACAGTTTCGTATTGTTGTCTTTACTAAGAGATAAAATAATGTTTTAAAAGCAGCCTGTGGTTGCCTGGTGTGCTTTAACTGTAAGAACTATGTCAAGAGCCACATGTAATCTAATAGAGGAAGGAATCCTATTTGTTTTTAAGCACCTGAGAAATGTTGTTACTATATAGTGTCTATAGTGGAGTGCTAGAAATTTTGACATTACTGGTTCATTGAGTGAAGTTCTTCAGAAACTTACCTGAAATCTACTCAGGCTAGCCATTTGATAACAATGTGTGTTTCTCTCTAGTTATAACCTGGCAACCTGGAAAAACCCTCTGTGTGTGTGTTGTGTTTTTTGTTTTTTTTTTTTTTTTTTTTTTTTTAAAATGGGCTTTAGTTTTAATGTATATCTGAATAGGAGGGTTCAGTGTGACTTGAATAAAGATTATTACTCTTTATGGTAATCAAATCATAATGGAGTTCTGGGAGGAAAGAAATTTTTAGATGTTAATTACATTTAGTTTTACTAAGCTGAAGTGTGTAGCTAGGGCAAGCTCTTGCTGCATAATTCCAGAAGTGGGCATTTGAAAACACATGATTCAGGTGTTCTTGAAATTCTTGCTGTACCTACTTTCTGAACATTTTTTTCAGAGTTTGTGGGCTTTTTTGGTGAAAATGTTTCCTTCTCATGGCAGAACTTGAACTACTTTGATCTTAGTTGTCCCATACAATTGAGTGTGGAAAAACTAAGATCAAAGTAGTTCAAGTTCTGCCATGAGAAGAAAACATGTTTAATGTTTTACTAACAGTGGTAGCCTACTTGAGGCTGTGTCCTGCTAAATTATTAGAGGAAATTATGGCACTGAATTTCAGGAAGAAAAAAATTTGATACAACTGCTAGGTTTTCTGTCTTACATTCAGCCCTTCAGCACTTGAAGATGAGGAGGAAGAAGATGGACACACTGTTGTGGCCACAGCAAGAGGTGTATTTAACAGCAATGGTGGTGTGCTGAGCTCCATAGAGACTGGAGTTAGTATTATTATACCACAAGGAGCTATTCCAGAGGGAATAGAGCAGGAAATATATTTCAAAGTCTGCAGAGACAACAGTATACTCCCACCTTTGGACAAAGAGAAAGGTAAGAGCTGGCACTGTACACTGTACTGTTATTTAACGCAGTTCTTATCTAACAGCAAGATAAAACATGAAAACACTCCAGTAGGCTTCAATATATAGGATATTTTTACAAGAGAATGCAGAGCATACATCTCCAAAGAAGTATTAAGGGGAGGAGTGTTCTGCTTGATACTGAAAGTTGCAAGCAAGATGGAGGCCCTCAATTATAACTTGAGAATATTTAATTTGTAGACATAAGTACTGATGTGAAAGTTATCTAGTACACTAAAGGAAGGTTCCGGATTAATTTTTTAAGAGTCTTTGAAATTGTATATTCCATCACAAAGTGCAGCGATTTATTCTAGATGCTTTTGTTAGAAATATTTCTTCTCCTCACAGTTAAGACCAAAATAATTATAAAGCACATGACTTAAGCTAGTTTAACTTGAGTTAAATATTTGGAGTTGACTTCAACACTTGAAAATGCTCAACATCTTAAATATTTCAACTTCTCTAAGGAGAACAGCTTCCAAGTTTAAAAATATATTCTAACTTTTATATAAGAAGTATATTCCTGTCTTACTAATAAAGATTGAGTAATGTGTTGTAGTTGAGCATTTTTTTCATAGGAAGTCTCTTTGATAGCACTATCCCACTGCACATGCATTTTTCCGACCTGTCAGATTCTTGCTTTCTTCAGGTGAAGAAACTAAAGGGGTTAATTTTGTAAATTTACAGTTAAAGCCTTATTTGCAGTCTACAGTTAATTTGAATCCAAATAAATCAAACGTAGCATGCTCCTCCACTGCATAATCATACATTAATATTTGGAGCCTAGGACCAAAACTAGACGTGTGAATTTGCATGCTTTGACTGTTAAGGTCAGTCTTTAGGCTCTGGAGCTGCTGAAGGCTTTGTTCAGCCCAGTGCGCCGTAAATCTGTACAAGCAGCACGTTGCTTCTTTTCGTATTACAGCTGCATGAATAAGGCTGCCTACAGACGTGGGGGTTTGTTTCTTTTGATGCACCTGCTTAGAAATTAGTTGGAAAAATATCCTAACATGATTTCATCACCAGACTTCTTTATCCTTTTTCATTTTGTCATTGTGATATTCTGTTGAGAAGTCACTTGTGCCCTCCGAAAGAGACTGAGAAACAGTCTTGCTGAGTGCTATTCTTTACTTGACAGGTCAAAACATTGATATTTTTTTTTTTTTTTTTTTTCCCCTAAAACCAAGTTGCCGAGTAGCTCTGCAATGTAATTACATGATACTTGGAACCTATTTCAAGAATAGTCAGTAACAAGTGTTTTTTTTTTTCCCCTTAACTGTAGGTGAAACACTTCTTAGCCCCTTGGTAATGTGTGGGCCTCATGGACTAAAATTCCTGAAGCCAGTGGAGCTGCGCCTGCCACATTGTGCGTCTATGACCCCTGATGGTTGGTCTTTTGCTCTAAAATCCTCCGACTCCTCGTCGGGTATGCTGTCCTCCCTCTGTCCTTTTGGGGCTTTTGGGTGCTATCGTATAATTTAAGTTAATTTGGCTAAAGGTGATGCTGTGTAATACAAAGAACTCAATCATTGTATTTGTGTCAAACTCTTCCATTTCACTTTCATTACAAATGTCTTTCTTACATTTACTCATGGTGCAAATCCATAGCTAAAACATGATAGCGGGAAAAGGGTAATCTCTCTAGTCTATTAAATATTATCGTATTTTTCTATTCTGTCTTCTTTCTTGAGGACTGCTACAGCTGAATACACTTGAAATGATAGTCACACTAAAAGTGAGAGGAAATGATTATGTACCTCTGATTGGCCTTTGTAACATAAGTGCTGTTTGTCTGTTGCTTAATTAACCGTATAGGACTCTGGCAAATCTTAACAATCTGCATGCTCATAAATCATGATTTAACGCTTGTTAATTGTTTCCATGTGTGCAAGTTGATGCTAACAACTGAGTCATTTAAGAAAACTATAGTATTCAGTAGAGGCATTTACAGTTCATTCTAATGTAGCTGGATTTTCCATGAGACTTTTCTTGCTTTCTTCTGCCTATTTCTCCTCTACTGCCTTTTACCCAGAAGTTTCTGGTTGATAGTAAAAGTTGCAACTAGGTTGCAATTTTATTTACTTGCGTGTTTTTACCTCACTGTGGCTTTCTGGGATGTGGGGGAGAATGAATTGGCTGAAATGGTCAGTGAGGAGCCTGAGAGAGAATTCTGGGCAAGTTTCAAGCAACTTCATGAAATGGCTGTGAGGTTACAGAGATTTAAAAAGGAATATTTGCACATCTTGTGAAAAAGTCTTAAGGTTTTATTCAGCTACCTTCAAAAATGTATCATGGAAGGTTCAAACCATTAATGTGTCCGTATGATCTAAGTAATGACTGACTGATGTACTCCTGTGTACAGCATTTAAGCCACCATGTATGCATATCTTTTGTCACTAACGTATCTATCACTGTCAACACCAAAGCACTGATGCTTTGAAAGACTAAAGCATCAATCCCCTTGATAGGGATTCAATAACCTAGAGGTATTAATGGCAATAATTTTTAGTTGTTTTTTTTGTAAGCTATTATATGCATGTGTTGCATGCATCTATTTAATAATGTGTGTGTACATGACAGTGTTAAGACACGGACTCCTGAATTATAGGGTCCCAAAGCTATGACAACTGTGTACAGAAATGAGCCAACACTTCTTTGTAACTAATAGCACCTGTTCATGAACTTACTTGAAGTGAAGGGAGAGGACTCAAATGATCTAAATAATAACTGAAGTTACTGAGACGTTTTCCTCCCTTTCCAAAGTGGGATGTGTGTGTACATGTGTGAGTGAGAACAAGAGCGTGTATATTTAAACCCTAACACTTTCTGTACTGTAAATACAACATCACATTCTGTTAATCTGAAATGGGATGTATATCATAACATTGCTCTTTTGAGACAAAATTTAAAATTAGGCAATTCTGTCCTATGATATGTAAGTAGACCATACTGTGTCTTAAATAAATAATTGTTTTCTCTCTTTCTAAAGTAGTTGGTTATGGGACTCTGATTTTTGAGGTGGCTTTGTAATAACAGTTTATACAATTCTGGGGTTCTTCTCTCTTCAGTCGTCTGCTCTACCTCATCTCTTCTCAATGTATCCATGTTCTGTCCTAAAAGTGGCATTCATTTGCACTTACTAACATCTTTTCTGCCATATTTAAGCTGTGTATATTGCTATTTGACTGTTAAACCCCATCAAAAACTTGAATGATCCTGGTATTAAAACTGACTGGGGAATAACGTTGCCTTTTATGGCCACACCTATTAGAATGTACTACTAAAAGGCACTGAAGGATCTTTTTTTAGATTCTTTTTTTTTCAACCAGCTGTATGTAAGTATGGGAAAAACATCCTCAACAGCTAGAGGTTGCACTGGCTGCAGTCTAATCCTTACTAAGTATTTAGAAGGAAAGGTTGGAAAAAGTCTGCTATTGTCTCATGTGCAAGACTAGGACCTGGTTGTCCTACAGTCCTGTTTTACCCATCTCATAATGTATTTGACCATGTGAGTTTTGAATGGAATTCCTTGCATTGATAAAAGGAAAAATCCTCCAGTGTTATTGAGCGTCTTTACTAAAATAAGTAGTCTTGGCTGGATGCAGTAAACTTGTTTGCATTCTTTAATGATACACAGGCCACTTCTATGTCCCTACATCAGATGTTGCCATCACTCAGTGCATTGTGTACTTCATTTTGTTTTCATGAGTTCAAGAAAATTACATGGAATTTGCATGAGTCTCATTTAATACAGAGGTCTCAGATGTTTGCAGTCTCTGTGACTGGGTTCCCTAACCTGTTGCACATTTCTCAAGACAGATCTGTTTTGGCTAAGCTATTTAACGTCCATTATCTGGAAGGCTTAAGAGGGCTTCAGTGCATTTATCACTCTTCTATTGTAGTGGGATGATGACACTTTATAGATAAGGCAGCATTTAGGAATGGTTTTAGGTGGGTAAATAACAGATGCTTTCTGCAGCTGAAAGAGAATTGACTGTGCAGATGGGATGTAACCCTGGTCTGATGAGATGATAGCTAGCTAATGACTTTTTCTTATAACAGAACATGACACAGGACCTTTGACCACGAGTAGATAAGATCTATTCTAAAGATTTTTTTAACTATGTACCAGTTAAATAGAATCCCTTTTAGAGTATCAGTATTTCAGGCTTTTAAACAAGTACACTGGATGTACTTGTAGTATTTCTTATGACTACAATGACTTTCATAATAGAAGATAAAAGTAACAGTATGTCATAGTGTTTAGTTACAGCATAACTTCTGATTTGACTCATCTTGGGTTCAGAATTGTTCCAGGAAACTTCAAGTGTATCGTACCCCAATTAACTCGTAAAATGTTTTGGTTTCTTCTGGCAATATAGGAAAGAGACAGTGAATACCGGATTCACTGTTAACACTTTTTTAAATGGAAAGCACTATGTGGTGCTGTAGAATAGAATGACTTACACTTAACAAATCCAGAGTGCCACAGCATCTGCTTTCAATAACTGATATATACAACATCATATAAAAATGAAGAGTTAATATTTTATCAAGAACATGCAAACTGCAGCTTTGTTTTTTTAGTTCAAAACAAAACAACCAACCAACAACACAACAAACAACTAAACCCCAAGCAAAAAAGCAAACCCACAAAACAGGTGTTGATTCAGAAGTTAAAAAGCTCCTGTCCAAAAGCTTGGTTTTTTCAAGATGTACACTGTTTGATAGCGGTTACTAAACACCAGCATTGTGTTTTCCTCCTACAGGTGACCCCAAAACCTGGCAGAACAAGTCTCTTCCTGGGGATCCAAACTATCTTGTTGGAGCAAACTGTGTCTCAGTCCTAATTGACCACTTCTAAATATTAAGTTAGCTGAGTAAATAATGTGAAACTGAGATGGACCTTACATATAAACTGAACCACTCTATCAAGTATTAACTGTTCTATAAGTGATAATGGATCTTAGTGTTTAAGCATCTTGCTTTAACTAACAGTGGTTTAGCAAGAACACTCTTTGAACCATGGTCACAATACATGCCACAAGCAGGGAGCGTACAGTGGGAACAAGGTAGGGGTTTTGTAGGCTCTGTATGCTTTGGTTTGTTGATTTGTTCTTTTGTCGGCTTTTTTTTTTTTCTTCAAGGACACTACTAGTATTTCATTGCTTAAAATCTTAAAGTACAAATGGAGTTATATTAAGAGGAAGTGAATTTGTTTCATACTCCACTGGTGAAAACGGAATTTGGCCTGCGTTTTTACAACTCTGTAACTCACAAGACTACATTTTGGTCTCTAGTTTTTAAGTGACTTTTGGTGTACATGTCCAATGAAATGGCAGTCAGCCTGGGGTAGCACAGTTTAGATGTTTTCCTCTGCTCAGAGGCTAATGCAAACACATCTACTTACTGTATATGGAAATGTTGTCATGAGGACAAGGGGGAGGGGAAAAAGCATGTGGGTTGACTATGGTTCAGTTGCCTCTGTGGATTTGTAAATTAACCACATTACTACAGACCTATTAACCAGCAGGGATGCCTTACCCTCATGTTTTTAATAGTTTTAGCTCTCATAGTTCTCTGTATTAAGTTTGTATGGCTTTTGTGCTTACCTAGATAATGTATCATGAGAGACTGGGAAAAGAGATGGGGCGGGGGGGAAATCCAAACACAAAACTAAACAAAATAACTTGTGAGTTTGGTTTAGAGAATGAGTATTGTTTGTGTTCATCAGCCAGAAGAGAACCAGAAGAAAGTGATGGTATGTTTTCTGCTATGCATTTGAAAAACTTATGGATGTTACAGACTGCTTGTATATAATGCGTGCATACCACTTTTGTTCTTGGTTTGTAAATTAACTTTTATAAGCTTTACCTTTTTATATATATAAATATATATAAAAACAAACAAAGTTTCTTAAGGATATCTTTGTATTCTCATACCTTTTGAGCCTTGAACTTTGACATCTGCAGCAATAAAGCAGCATTTCTACCATAAACAAACAAGGACATTTTTTAAAAATGCACAAAGTTGTTAACTTTTTAAGTGCTGCATTTAAAGAATATAACTCGGAATTCTATACTTTGATTAAATTCTTGAAAAGTATCCCTACTGTAATTTGTCATAAGGATGCTGTACTATGTGCCCGGAAATGTATTTTTTTACTAATAGACAATTTATTACGGCACAATGGCACTACTACTGTTTAGATAATATACCACTGCATTCTGTTAATGAGTTATTAGCTATTCAGGTGTGGCTGATTTTTTTCTCTGCAGTTATTAAAATTACACGTTTCTAAATATACGGAATAAAACTGTTTTTAAAATAATAAAGGAGATTGTAGTACCTTATTGTTTCTCAAATGCATTTATGTGAATATGACAACCAATTTTGATTCTCTTCCTATGCAAGTAGACAACTGGATTCTGCTGTATGTCCACACATGAAGTGGAGCTCTCTTGTGGAGGCAGTTGGAGTTATCTACTGCAGGGCTTCCAATGTGGTGAACTCCAGTGTGGATCCATTGGAAGCACTTAATATGAAGTGGTAGACTTGTCCCATGAGTCACTACATTGGTTCTGGTTGGCTTATTATATCAACTCTTCCAAATGCTTTGGTAGTGCTCTAGCATGTAGATTTACGCAGTCTAGTTACACAATTTTAAAGATACCCATCCACACAATCCCATTACTAGGTCTGTTTGGAATACTTGGTGGCTAACTGGTAAGCTACTGTTATTGTATAAGAGAAAAATAAGTTCTAGAAGTTATTTTTAAATAATGGTGGGAAGAGTTCATAACCTGATGTTCCTTCTGTCTTTGTACTAACCAATTAGCTTGTTTCTTAGGCCCGACTTGCCCTACAAGGGGCATTCACTTCTACTACTCCTGTGCCTCGTGGCTTTTCTTGGCTCTAAAAGGAGAGAGAAAATTTGGATAGCAAAAAAAGTTGTTCTTGTTGGGATGGCATTTTTCACTTGTCTTAGTGGTAATATATTGATGGTGTTTGAGTCAACAAAAAAGGTTTCAACATGACATGCATTGCATCTTGGAGAAAATTCTAATGCTAAAGTGAGTGTTCTTTTCTAGTTCAGATCTTAGTAAGAACTATGTGAAACACTACAGAAGAAGTCGGTTAGTTGGACTTGAACCCTCCCTGGAGTTACACTCCATGGACTACTTGCAGTGCTGGTATTTGTGTTGGACATGCTGAGCGGAGAGATGTGTAAGGTATAGAATCCCGAGTTGCTTCTAGTGTAGTGAGCAGATAGAAAGATAGAAGTTACTATCGGAATAAAAAAGTGACAGTTTTTGCTCTACTGTAATTTCAGAAATTAAATGAGAAAGTTAATACTCTTAACTCATGTGACAATTTTCTACTGCTAAGCTGCCTGTCAATGGAATTGTCTTTTGTTGTCCACTTGTGTTTCACAAAGGAGCTAGTTTAAACCGCATGCATGTTTTCCTTGTTAAATCCCAGTGCTTTTTGGCTAAATCATGGCCATCGAGAATAACTGTGCTGAAATAACATATTTTTTTATTTTAAAATAATACTAGTGGTTTTGAAATTTTTTTCCTTGAAACGGATTATGTTCCTTGCATATTTTATACAGGCTAGACTCTGCAGGAGGTAAGTTCACATGTAGAATTTTCATTTACTCGAGTTCTGTATTCATTATTTAATGGGAACTTCAAAAACTGCATTTCCCAATTCTTTCTGTTTCAGTGATGTATTGGTTAGCTTTAGGTGCCCTGCAAATTGTACAGAAGTTATAATGGGGAGATCTCAAGCCTTGCACTCATTCCTAAACTAGTCTGCTTCAATGGTGGAAAGAGATGTTTAGTGGATACAGAGTTACTGTTCATTTCTCTGATTTTGGTGCTTGGTAAAAAAAAAATTGTATTGTTACTTTTTTCAAGAAAAGTATTTTTTCAAGTCAAGACCTTTAAATTTCAGATACACAAACAAGTTATGGTTCTTTAAGTACTTTTCTGTTCTTGACAACCTTGGGTAGGTGAAGCAAATCAGCAATGCTTAGGGACTGGTTGAAGATTCTCTTCTGTAATATAACTTGGACCAGATGACAAAAACTGGAGCCATACAGGTTTGGAGAATAAAAGATGTTAAGCATGTCTGAAAAATGTTTTCTTAGTATCTAAGTCACTTGTGAGGAAAACATTTGTAGGATCGTCACTCACTGGTAGTGGTGGTCTGTTGTCTACAGGGTTCTCTGGCAACTAGTCCTGTTAACTGGCTAGATGAAATGAATGGGTAAAATGATTTTTCATATGTCCAGATGAAGTGTGCGTTATCACCCTGTGGGTAGCCATCTAAGAAAAAATACACTTCAATAGTAGTGAAGTATTTGAAGCTGGCTGTTTGTGCAGACATGTGTAGACATAATGTCATGAGTTAGATTTTTTTTTTTACTGGCTTTGAATACTGTGAACTAGTTGGCTTTATGCTAAGCAGTTTTCTTTCCAGTGACACTAATTAACTATATAAAATTATACTATGACTGAATTTGGCTTGAAACCCAGTTGTGACAAAAATTAACATCTTTTGATGGGAAATAATCATCCTATTCTAGTTATTTTAATTAAACTTGAAGCACTTGTAGATCATTTCAAATTGCTGTGAAATGGAGTTGTAGCACATACAGCTGTCTATCAGCCACTTTAAGCAGTAACAGGTTTTACTGTGTAAGATACAGAAAACAGGTTCAGAAGAGAATCTCTGTATCTAAAAGTGCAGTTATCCTATTTTGTTACTGCAGGAGTAATAAAGGAGACTAAAAGTGAAGGAGAAAAACTTTTGCCTGCTGCTGTGCAACTAGATCAGGTGAACTTGGAGAAGAGAGCAAAAGTGCAGTTTATGCTTAGAATGACAAGAACAAGTGTTAAGCTGACTTTGCTCTTTTCACTAATGCAGATTCTGAAGTTGCTGTAGTCTGCCCTATGATGATGCATATGAAGTTTCCCCTTGAAGTTTATGATGCAGCACTCATTGCCTGTTGCTCCTCGTCTCATGTATTGGCAAAGTGATAGTGGCAGGATGGAGACAAATGCAGAATGTCTGACTGTTCCCTCAGCCCAGAAAGGCTGCCAGCAAGGTGGGTTTGCGATCTGTCACTGTTGCTGGCTGCTGACAAGGGAGTAACTATGGTTTGTGTTACATCATTTGGCCTTGCCAGATCGTCTGTTCTGTGTATCTCAGGAATGTGGTAAATGAGCTAAATAGTTTAAGTCAGCAAAAAGGACCCCTGGAATATAGGAATTAGCTGGACAACTGAAAAAATAGATTCCTAAGAACATATACTAGTCTATTTGTGATTATTTATACTATCTCTTTTCTTGGCTGTTGGGTGCACATTAAATATTCTTTAAAAATAATTTAGCAAATACCCTCTTACTTAAATACTTCACATGTATCTTGTATTTAGAGTATTATGCAGCACTTGTCCATTTAATAGAAAAGCTGTTGAACATGGTAGATAGGATAGGCTGTGAAAACGCTATGTATAAATTACAGCCTTTTAAGGTGAGTCCAGGTTTAAACTGTGTTGGTTAATGTATCAGTTTC